GCCCAAAAAAGCATCGTTCCTGGTCGGCTTAGGCCTTGACGCATGGTTTTCGCCCAATCCACTCGCATGGGACACGTTTTTCTGGTTTCGAGTTCGAAGGTGCGGCACCGGGCCCCCGCTGAGCGGTATGCTGCGCCCCCGATGTTCGCTGGGCTCCGGGAGTTGGGGGTTGGTCTTGGAGGGCTCTTCAAAGGCTCGGCCGCTGTTGGTCTTTTGCATTGCGCCACGGGATGTTGGGACTTTCACTTCTCGCCAACTAGTGGGCTTTCCCCGTTAGACCACTAAAAGCTACTCACTTTTGGCAGGGGAGCAGAAAGCAGCCGAGTTGTTTGTCGTTCTGCGGGGGAAAAAAGGAGCCAGGCGTAGCACGATTGGCAGATCGGAAGGGAGACGACGTTTCAGCTTTAAGCCTGATTTGTTTTTGGAAAAGATAGGTTTCCCCACCAACTAGCAAACACTCACACGGTTTGGGGTCAAAGGCCAGGTGGGTTTCTTTGCTGGATCCACAGTAAGGCTTCCCACTGATTAAGGCTTGTTGGCTTCTTGATATATTTGGCCGTACCAGGCATGTCCCGATCGCCCCAAGACACACACCCAGACACAGACACACAGACACACAGACACACAGACACACAGACACACAGACACACAGACACACAGACACACAGACAGACAGACAGACAGAGAGACAGACAGGCAGGCACAGACACAGAGACAGAGACAGAGACAGAGACAGAGACAGAGACAGAGACAGAGACAGACAGAGACAGAGACAGAAACAAAGACAGAGACAGAGACGGAGGCAGAGGCAGATAGACAGACAGATAGACAGACAGATAGACAGACAGATAGACAGACAGACAGACAGGTAGACAGACAGAAAGACAGACGCAGACAGAGACATTGAACAACTGGGGATTTCTTATTTGCAAAGCCTCATTTCGGTGGCGACAGTAGCGGAGATTTCAACACGCATAGCTCGCTTTCGCGATGTGTTGCGGTAGACAACTGGATTGCGACTGAACTGAAGGAATCCGAAAACCAGTCGCAAGAGAACTGAAATTACATTTTGCAGTCAGTAAAAAAACAATATTCCGCAAGCAGCAATGAAAACCGATCTTTCTGCAACCAGCAATAAACCGATCTTTCTGCAACTTGAAGGCAGCTTAAAGCTGAGTGTTCCCTTTCAAATCCTTAGTCCTTCCGAGGCCCGGGGGCTTTGGTGAGTCCTTGGCCGGCAGCAGCGGCGGCACGCACTTCATTTGGCCGGCGCCCCAAGGGAGAATTTCTGGAGGCCTATGGCGCCTCAAACAAAAAACTGTTTTTGTGTTTTAAGGGACGAAATATGGGTGGCTCGTCTGTTTTTGGAGCTGGCACCCCCATTTTGTTTGGCGGCTTTAAAGACCGAAGAGCCATGTTGTAGTTCCGAATCCTAAAAATCTGACACACCAACAATGATAGCCACCATCGCCATCCTTTTTCCGAGGCCCGGTCTCTTACTTGTGGACGGCGGAGAGCCCGAGCGCTCAGAAAACGGGGGGCCATATGGCGCGGTGCACAGAGAGACATCGGTGGATTCTTTGGGTGTGCGTCGAGGTGGGGTGCTGCAGCGCCACAAAACCAGGGTGAAGTGAGGTATGCAGTATTACCACCCCCCCTCCTGGCAAGCAAGAAGCTATTATGAAGTTTTGTTGGGGTAGGCTGGAGGTCAAGGGTTCAAATCCCGCCGGGTCTGGCGTACATTGGTTGCCCTCGAGCTTCTCATAGGGGGGCAGCTGATCGGCCTCCAAACTTCCCTTTAAGTTGCTCGCAGGATCAACGTGTGCACAGCTGGCTTTCGCACTCCTCCTCAGACAGTTTTAAAAGGGCGGCTCCCTGCTGGGTTTCCTACTGCACTGGCAAATGAATCCACAGGACAAATTGAGTCACGGTCATAGGAAACTCGTGTTCCTGCCATTTAGCCCTGATGAACTCATCCAGTAGCCGACTTTGATGCTACACGACATTATCAAGGCCCCTTCTTCATGTGTACCATGGTCAGAGGACCTACTTGGTTGGAAGAGATGGTTATTTAGTCCTCAACAACGGCTTTAGACAACCAATGTAAATATTCCTATTCAGGTAGCGACCGACAGCCATGACCGACACAAGGAGTTTTGACCATGGCTCATGTTGGCTAGGAGTATGACCAATTGCCTCGAACCTTTGCGATGTATGCACCTCTCGTACGAGGCCCGGTTTATTCTTCATGGATTATGGCTCACGGGAAGGCCTTTGCTGCCAAGGTCCCAAATAGATTCTTCTGGATTCATGGCTTGTAGGTCCATAGAATGAGCCTTTCACTTAAAACACCCTCAACACGGCATAGCATGGCCAAAGGGCGATTCAAGTGAATCCTTGGAAAGGTCAGACTCGCTTCCTGAGTTCCTGGACTTCAAGCTCTTCGGAAAGACCATTCCGGTCGAGAAAAAAAGAAAAAACAAAAAAAAAAAACAGAACTTTCTTTGGCCAATCCACCCAGAAGTGAGCAGACATTTTCCTTTGCTGCATTTTGCTTGGATGTTGGGACTTCAACTTTTTGCCAACTAATGGGTTTTCCCCACCAAACCACTAAAAGTTGCTCACTTTTAGCAGGGGAGCAGAAAGCAATCGAGTCGCAGCAAGATTCGTGTCGCCGTTTGGAGATCGTGGCCTGCAGCCACGGCCCAGGTATCGCCTGTGCTGGTGCAGCGTGGCAAGCCCCTGCAGCCACGAGGGCTACTTCACCACGGACGCCCTTCGCCTGCCTATCTCCTCGGGCTCCATGCGGCAGCTTGTGGTTTTTGGGGACTCCAACCGACCTCCCTTTGAGGTTATGTTTGATCGGATATGTGTTTCCCTTTCTCGTTTTCGACAACCCTCACATGAGTTGGAGAGGTTCCGTTCCGGAACTTGCGAGGCGTTTGGGGGGAAGGGGGTAATTGAAGGTTCCTTGGCACAGCTGGTAGGGTGCAATTCCGTTGCCTCGCATGTTTGACAATGTTACCGCCAATATCAAGAACCTGGAAAACCTTCTCACCCAAGTTCGTTGCAAAAGAGAGCCACAATCAATCCAGAACATGGCCTTTGGTAATCACAAGCAGGGGGGGTTGCAGCTGCGAGCTGTTTACTGCAAAAGGGCCAGGTGTCTCTTTTTCGGCAGTGCTGTTCGGGTTGTTAGAAAAGGAAAGCCAACGGGAAAACCGAGCCAAGATCTGTGTGTGTCTGTGTTTTTTTGAGGGTGCCCTTTGCGTGGGTTTTAAAGGGAAGCCAACAAGGCAACCAGCGCGATGGCTGGCAACGCGCTTTTTCAACTGGCCATGGGTCAAAACCTCGGTTATCCCCCAGTGAACATCCCAATCCAACAACTAAAATAGGTTCTAAAATGGGTGGTGCACCCATCCCAAAATGGTACCAAAACGGTTTTGAACCATCAAAATGAGTAAGGGACAATCCCAGCCACAAATAGCTGCGGCCACCTTCGTAATTCTTTGCATGGTTCTGGGGATCAACCATTTTAGCGCCGGGTTTTGATTGTGACTCAACTGGTGCCAAGCACATCTCAGGTGGGCACCATGGTGGTCACTGGGCCCGTCTCCGGCTTGGAAGCGCTGGGGGCCTGGTTGCGTGGAAACCGTCGTCTTCAACCCGAAGGGATTGGTCACGAAACATGGGTACACTCCCTCCCAACATGGCACCTGCCAGGCGGTTGAGAGGAAAGTGACCTTCCTGGTACCGAAAGCCGACAGGTTCCATGTTAGGAAGGGCATGGGTGAAAAGCTAACCACCAGGGGAACGCCGATGTTGGGGACCCATTTATGACCCGCAGCCATATGGACCAGAATCAAGCATATTGTGCTTTGATCAAAGTAGGTTTCGGTGACATTTTGAGCCGCCTTTTGCCGGGCGTCGGGACCCAGGGCGACAATTTGACAGCAAGACAAGTTGTGCCAGTCTCTCGTCAGCCACTCGCTCCAAGCACGACTGTTTGCAGTAGCTCCCGCTCTGCTGTGCTCGCCTGGAATCTTGACACGTTTCCATGACAATTGCTGGCATTTTCGGGCCTGCGATGGGAAGAAGGCCATGACAAGGCAACGCAGCGGCGATCCTTTTGGCCTGGCCAGTTGTTCAAAGGCACTCTTCCCAAAGCCGGTAGCTTCTGGTGATTTGGGTGTCCCGAGCTACCTACCTTTCTGGCGCGATTAGAACTTAGCCAGGCTGTGTTGGCTGATTGGAATCTTCCGCTGTGTTGGCTGATTGGAATCTTCCGGGAGTTGGGTAAAACGACGAGAAGAGGGCTGACCGATCACTCTAAGGGCCTGCGTCAGTGGACGACTTTGCTCCATCTCGAACATTCAGGGTGTCTACCTGCAGGAGAAGAGTTCAACTGGTCGCTTGAGCTGGGTTGTGGCGCTTGGACACAAAAACTAAGAGCCACTTTTGGTTGGCTAAGCCTGTGCTCGTTTGGGGTCAGCAAACACTCCTAGCCTAGCACTTTACGATGCTGGTTCAGGGCAATTGTATAAGTGATGTTTTAACATATTTGGGTGTGTCTTGTTTTAGGGGACGGACCTCCAAAACGGCGGTTTTCCTTGTGGTTTTTGTTCACCCCCCCCCCCCCCACCGCGACAAAAGACAGACCCATGTCATTTGGGGATCACATCCATGGATTTCCGGATCAATGCTGAAGCCTTCCTTTAGTGCCCCATTGCACAGATGGCCCTCTGAAGCTGTTCAGTGAAGCGGGCCAAATAAGGCCTGGCAGGGTCGATGGGACCCATCCAATGGCCCACAAGACTTGCTTTCTTGGGGATCCAGGTTCGCTTGGACTCCATTTCCCAGTTTTCAGGTCTCAAGCGGCAGCGCGGGAACCCTAACAACTTTACGGCGAATCTTTTCTGAAACGTCAGGCGAAGGGTTCTCTGGAATTTTGAAAGCGGCGGGATGAGCCGAGTTCGAACACTTTCCTCATGCCCTTCGGACTGGATCATCTTGGGGGGCCGGGCTCTCAACAGGTCCAAACAACAATTGCCTCTCTCTTGACTCACCAGCAAGGAAATGAGTTTCGTTAACAGACCGTCAGGCGAGTCACACATAATTGTTGAGGGTGAGGTAGTAAGGGACAATCCCACCCAGACATGGCTGCGGATATCCGCCTTGTCAATTCTTTACATGACTCTGGGGGATCGACATTTCAATACCGGGTTTTGATTAGCTCTCAACAAGCCAAAGACCAAAGCTCTCAACGGGCAAAAACCGCCAGGCGTGCGCGCGCGCCGCGCGCGAAGCGCGCCATGCAGGACGGGGACTCTGTGATGGTGCTGACGGCCTGCGGCGGCGCGCAGGCGTGCTGGGAGGTTGAGGTTTGCGGTGCGGTCTGGTAGGGGACATCTCATTTGGCCATGGCTCAAAACCAATCGGATCCCATTTTGGGGGATTCGTGCAACACCCATTTTAGAACCTATTTTAGTGGGGATTGGGATGTTCACTGGGGGTACGGGATTTTGACCCATGACCATTTCTTGGAAGGCTTTCGCCTGATGGAATGTCCTTTATGAGTTTGCATATGGTTCACTAAGTAGGGAGGATCAAAGATCTGTTTTGTTTCGGGGGCAAAAGCTGAGGTAAATGTAGTGGTTTGGCGGTGTTCACTTTGCGACTTTGAGAGACAAGCTTTAAAACATATATATATATATAAACAGTGATTTCTGTTCCTTGGAGGTTTCCTGTTAAGCAACTACCCACCCAGAGGCCACATGTTTCCCCCAATGCTGGAGGTCAGGATGAGTTTGGCACAGGAATTGGGCCCTGTTTTCTTGGCGGCTCCATGTCCTGAACGCTTTTCAGCGTCTTAGTGTCTAGCGGGGAATTCCATTTCACTTCTCCGAAGAAGGTCCAAGGACGCCGCCGGACACGGGCGCTTCCGATGAGCACCTCACCCGTGTCCCCAAAGGGACCCGAAGTCGTGTTTAGACAGCGATGCCAACGAGCTTAATTCACAGCGAGTTACCATCTTAATGTCTCCGCCAACTGGCACCACGATCTTTTTTGTCGGCCTTTTACATCTCTCTCTCATTTCCATCTTTACTACACCTGGAAATGACTTTTGTTGTTCCTTCTTCGCTTTTTAATCGATGTTTACTACAGGTGCGTCAAAAAAGGAATCATTGTCGGACATGCTGCAGGGGGATCTAGGATTACATGAAACATATTATGTTGTAGCACATTTTCATGGTGTTCTTTCTTTAGGAGCTATATTGTATAGCTGCTGTCTTCTCTGGAATAATTAATCGTCAAGGAGAAAATATTGTTGGTACTAATAATTTATATATTACTTTCATCCTCATGTGCACTCTCTCTCTCTCTCTCTTTGTCATTACAATTTAATACTTATCGATGTTGTTCTTACCTTCTCCCCACTACATTTCTGAATATTTAATGTCATGCCAAGAACAATCTCATCATTTCCAGATTCTTTTCATTCCTAGAGTTATCTGTCATCTGTTGGATCATGAATAGCTTTCCTATCTTTCTCATTCAGGTGTGTCTTGAAGGGGAACCCTCGAAATGTGTTGTTCACTGGTTTTCCTTTAAACCAACCCCCTTTTGGGTACAGTGAAAGCAAGACGAGTCACCCATGTGTTCCTTTCAATAGGATGCTATGGAGAGCGGGCTAACCTTATCGTGAGAGACCCCCCTATTGGCCAATCAAGTAGGACTCAGTTTTGGTAGGACTTTTGGTCATGGTCCCCGGTTAACCCGTTGTAACCAGGTCGGTAGAATCAAAGGTTGGGTGCTGCCAGTGTTTTCCATGGGTGGCTTTATATTGGCACAAACATGCGGACTTTGGGCCCCCACTAAGCCAAGATAGGGGCACAGTCGAAGCCATAAACTCGGTCCAATTCTGCTGGGAGAACCAAACCAGTTGAGCCCCAGTCAAAACATGCGGGGAAAAGAAGAAGAAGAAAAAGCAAAAAACAGTGGACATGTGAAATTCAAAGAGCCCCGCATTTCCATCCCAAATTGATGGGCTTTGTGTAGGGAATCCTCAAATGACCAAGCAGTTTTGCGGATGGGGATATCGCAAATTTCGCCTTTCCATGCCGTTCAGACCTGGTTGCTTTCCACAGATTTCTGAACCAAGTTGCTTTGGGGGTAATAAAATCTTTCGAAGGGTTTTGCTTGCCATCATGCCCTTGCCCAGATTTTGTTACCACCTGCAGCCCGGAGCCCCAACAAATTTGGGGCGTTGCCCCGACTTCAGATCGACGGCTTCCCCAACGGCGCCAAGACCAGCGCGGGTGCCTTGCAGGGCAGCGAGCACGGCACGCCCGCGCTCGCTTAAGCAAGAGCTGGTAGTTGTGTTTGTTTGGTTAACTGCGAGTTTCCGTGTTTTTTGTTGTTGTAAAATATTTGTTTTTGTGTTCTATTCTTTCTTTCTTTTTTATATGTTTGTTTGTTGCGTGTTTGGTTGTTGTATGTTTGTTCATTTGATATGATCGAATATGTACTGTAACTTGCTTGTATGTATGTGTGCTTGTTCGTTGTGGATATCCGAGGAGGGGTGTTCGGGGTGTTTTGACTTGCTGGTTCTCAGCATTGAGGAATGTCCTGTTTCCCAAAATCCCCTATGGTTTCCGCATCCCTAGGCTCATTCCCAACACCCGGAACGGTCGTTTCCTACTGAGCAAGTCATTGAGGGAACGGTTTTACAACCACTACTTTTTGGCCCTGTTTGGACACATTGGTGTGGCTCAAAATTAAACAGGAGGGGTTACGCAGGTTTTGATCCATGTTTCCACTTACCAGGGTTCCATTTTGGTACCGGTTTTTTGAGCCTCAGCATGGCCATCCGTTCACGCTTTTATGGCTTGCTAAAGTCAATACCTGGTTGGCCGATGTCCCACCACTCAAGGGGTGACATTTGCAGGGCGAGATTTCCCCTCGAGCCCAAGTTGTAATACTCGAAGGGTAGCTTCCATTTCCATTCTTTCTTTCCAGGGATCCTTCTTTCTCGAAAACCACAACAAAAGAGCAGCTGGGAAACAGCGGGCTTTCGAAAAGAAGGATGGTTGAAAAGAATGGACAAGGAATCAAGCAGTTAGCAGGGCTCAGGTAGAAGGATCCATCCCAAAATCACCTGGGGTGATTACAATGGATCCTCTAAATCAGCTGAACCCGCTAGAAATCGAATCTACTTTGACCCCACAAGCCCCGAGTCTCCCTACGGACCCAACCAACTCATCGGCCGCAGTGGGAAACGCATCGGACACGGTCGCTCGCTTGCCAGGTTGGGGCGAGGCAGGATGCCGAGTCGTCGTCGTCGTCCCTTCGGTCCTTCGGTCCATGAGGCGGCATGAGTTAGGGATGTGGCTCAAGAAAGTGGTACCAACATGGCACCTTGGTAAATGGAACCAAAGACTAAAACCGCGTAATCCTAGCTCTTGAATTTTGAGGCACAGCCAAAGGGGCGGCGAATGCGAATTCAAATGGAGTCCAAGACTAGGTGTTTTCAGTGCCCTTTCTCACCCCTTTTTTGGTTGGGAGGTTTCCCCTAAAATCGACCACGGGAAAAAGTTGGTACCCGCATTTCTAACCTCTTTACTGGAGGACCTGGAAGAGGAACCGAGAATCTGTTGGTGCCTTCCAGCTGAAAGAGGTGGGCTAGGAGGTCTGGGCGAGTCGGCCCACAGCGGGAGGGTCGGGACTCGAAGATGCCGCTTCGATGTGCCGGCTTCGTCTTCGATGATTCGGGTAGACCTCTTGAAGGCCAAGGAGAAGTTGCGCTATGACAACCAAAGACTGGGATATCCCGGTTCAAGTGCTTGCAGGTCAACAAATAGCATGGGGCTTCTTGCTTGCAGTGAGAAAGCAAATGTGCAACTTGATTGCGAATTGGGTGATGTCACGTTCTCTGATGCCAGTGGTTGTTCCCCGCATGATGTAGCTATTTATCAGCCCCTCAACGTAGTAGATCACAGCACAAGCCAGTCAGCCCTAACGCAAAGAACCTGCACGTGTTGCCTTCCTTCCACCATGGCGGTCGCGAGCTGCCAACGGACCTTCAATGTTTTTCTTTGGTCTACGTAATCATGGCATCCCCACAGGTGATCAACTAACTTGTTCATGTCCTGGTCCCTGTCACAGCTCACGACCAATCACGACATGGGAAGACAAAGATTAGGGGACCGTCCCAGCCATAAAAATTGCTGCGGCAAGAAGCGCTCCTTCGATTCATCCGCACCGTGAGGATTTGGGTAGGCTCCTTTACCGAAGGTATGTCTCTCAGGGCTCCATTTCTATTGGTTTTGCAGGGCCTCAAAAGAATTAGCGTGACAGTTTTAACATAGGGAGAGCCCCCCAACAAAAACAGAATAAAGATCTTAAATTCTAAAAAACAGAAGGGTTTCTCTTTTGGTTTCTCTAGGACAATAAAGCACCCCATAGGGTTTTCCTCTTGGTTTCCCTTTAGCTTCTAAAACACAGAAGCCCGTGCCGGGTGCCCAATGGCACTCTTAATAAAAGGACGCACTCATAACCAACGAATTACTCACTTGATTTAGGGTTCCCAGCCGTCCTTTTTGGTTCACAAAAACCGTTTCTTGGGGTTGGGTTTCCATTTATCTCACTAACAGTCAAGCTTTTAGCCAGGGCATTCAGAAAATCTGAGCACTGCCCCGCTCAATGATATTGGTAGAGCCATTGCCAGCATGGGACGCAGGCCAAGATCTCGGCGCTGGGCGGGGAGTACGCGCTGTGCGCCTCGGCGAGCTGCCACGCAGCGCGGGAAGTCCACTTGGCCCGCGGCGGTCCATTTCGGGAACGGCCAGCGGGGACCGTAGGACACACATCGAATTGCATCTTTGGTCACGCAGAGTAAACGAAGAATGCGCAGCAACACATATCATATGCCCTTATTTTTTAAGCTACCAGTAGAGCCGGCGACGGTGGGCGGAAGTTCAAAACTTTTGGAACCTGGCTGTGGCTCAAAACCAATGGGATCCCTTTTTGGGGTAGGTGCACCACCCATTTTAGAACCTATTTTAGTGGTTGGATTGGGATGTTTACTGGGGATACGGGATTTTGACCCATGGCCACCTTCCGTGGTACCAATGGGATCCCATTTAAAGTGAGAAGGTCATCATGGGAATCAGTACAACCTTGATCTCACCCAAAAAACAGCGGTGTCAGGAAGTCCTTTTGGGCCAGCAATTGTGTGGCGAGCGCACCTCTGCGTAAAACCAGCTTAAGAGGTAAATCCTTTACTCAGCTGATCCCTTATCAGCTGACCGTGTCACACGGACGAGGCTCAACGAAAGGAAAAGCAAAGGGCTTGCTTTTGCTAACCTTCGGTTAGCCTCTCAAACTTTTTAAACAAAATGTCCGAGCAATTTAGGGTTTATTTAGTTTCCCCCTGCTATGAAATTCGAGGGACGCCAGAAACCAGAACCCGAAAAGGTGACGCTTCTGCCCACAAAGGGCCTCAAGCCATGCGAAAGGAGAAGCGGTTGAATCTGGGTGAGGTTTTTGTCTCAAACAGACCACCTCCCATGTTTGGGCCTTGCGCTTCCTGTAAAAAAGCAGCGCTCCAGACGGGGACCGATTCTGCTGTGAATCGGGTTTTCCCCAGCGATGGTTTTCCTGGAAGCACATAGAAATCTGACACCTTTGGAATTCAGAGCAAGTTGCCGGGTAACGAAGGTGGAAGAGCCTTGAGGCATCCAAAAGTCAGCAGGTTGAAGCTTGCGAAAAGGTGGGACTTGTGGCGATCCATGTGCGAGAGAACCCGTGTGGCCAGACCCGGATATAGCATCCAGCGTAACATGACTCGAATCACACCCCCAAAGACTCAAGCCCCGCATCGGTTTGCTTGGGCAATTTGTCGGGCCCCTATGAATTGCAAACCGTGGGTCTTCGGTGTACCGGGTTTGTGCGTTAGACGTTGCCATGGATTCGAAGGCGGCCGTCACATTTGTTGAGAAACTTGCGCTTGTACCTATGTTTTCTCAATGGTGGAACCCCTAGAGTTTTCTCCGGAATCATCATTAGGCCTTATCGGGCGAACATGTAACTCGACCTACGAGGATTGCGGGCCGGGTTGACAAGCATAGGATCAGAGCGCATTCTCGTGATTGAATGGTGCCAGGGGCCTTTTGGGTGGCATGCCAATGATGAGGCACTCCCTGAGCGAGGGCTGGTCATGGATCCAACTCGTTTCAGTCACCAAACCAAGGGGAATATGGAGGCTGCATCTCTTTTCGAGGGTACCTTCTGGGTGGTTTCAAGGGGCATTTTGTGGATTCACCACTTTGGATTGGAGACAAACTCTACACGATGAGAAAGACTCACCTCTGAGCCTTGGCGATTGGGGTGCTTGTTTCATTTTGGACCACGGCGCAGTTGTTCCAATCCGAGCCCTGGTCCACATGTTCAAGGTGTGCTCGTCGTTGCAGAAGGGAGCTCGGGGCTGAATGGTTCATAAGTTGTCTTTTCCCCCCACAGGGACAGCAATCAGAGACTGTTTGTAACATCTAGACTTCTTGTTTGGCACAGGACGCCTAGCCATTGGTTTTTGTTGTTCCCAGCTGCTCATTTCAAACCTGGGGGGAGAGATAGGCCGCGAGCCCACGGTCTCTCGATCGAGGTTGGTGCGCCAAGGGGGCTACCTGCGACGAGGTGCGACGAGAGGGATATGTTCAAGTCAGCGGAAAGGAAAAGACATGACCCAGGGCTTGTACAGCCAGCAAAACTAGGGATATGTTCAAAAAGGAAAAGACACCCAGGATTCGTACTTAGCGGTCTTCGATCTTCAACCGTCTTCGATCTTGTTGGAACATTGTTTCCAAAACATGGCAACACATTTACCTTCTGCAGAGGATGAAAGACCTGCTGGGGTGGGACACTTGTTGAGCTGGGCCCAGAAACTAAAAAGGGCAAACTGGAGGTACGACAGGCTACAACCCTGGAGCATTGGCCCCACCAGTGCCTGAACCCGCATTAGGTTGGCACTTTCACCCACCAATCCCCTATAACTCATAGCGTCACGGTCAAAAATCATTCACTACTCTCCCTCCAACAATCATGGAAGCTGACACGAGGGCTTTGAAAGACTACTTTCCTTATGGAGAAGCCCCCTGTCCACTTTGTTGAGGGAAGGAAAAGGTAAGTCACCAGAAATTGACCAAATTGTCCAACACCTTGTTCGAACTCGAACAAATCTTTGGTGACCCGGTCGACTCGCCTCAAGCGTTGGAGACCTCGGAGCACCGGAAGCGGCTGGGCACGCTCACCGTGACGGGCCCCGCTGGCAACCTCGTGCCAGGGCCGCGGAGTGCTTCGCCAGGCCTTTCGGGAGAAGCAGAAACCAACCCAGGACAGGGGGGGAAACCAACCCACGTTGCACCCTTGTTTGGCATGAGGTTGATCCATTTGCGTCGCGTCTGGAACACTACGTGTATGTGTATTTTCCAACTGTTTCGTTTTAAAGGGACATGGCTTGTACCCCTGTAAACCATCCCTTGTGGTTTCCTTTAAGGGGGCACCAGGTTCATTCCCGCATTCCCTACTAAGCACCAGCAAGAAAATCAGGACCCACAGATTTAAGGTTGGAGGGGCCCGAAAATCCGAGGCTCCCTGTTCTTCTTTGGAGATGGTTGGAGTGTTTCCATAGCAGTGGTGAACTCGGGGCCTGGATGTGAAAGACACGTAAGTAGCATACAATTGGCTGTGGTTGTCAAAACCAATGGTACCATTTTATTTTGGGGTAGGTGTACCACTCATTTTAGTCTATTTTAGTGGGGATTGGGATGTTCAGTGGGGGCACGGGATTTTGACCCATGGCCAAATAATGATTAGCATTGCGGAGTTGGAGAAGACAGGGTCACATTTCCTGGCTGGGCGAAGGGTCGGTGAAGATTTATGGCGCCTGGGGAGATGCAATGAATAGTTGTTTGTGTGAAAGCACATTCTCTTGTTTTGTGTACCCTTGCTTTTGTGCCTTTTTTTTTTTTGGGGGGGGGTGGGTACCCTATGTTTTTGTTGTTTCTTGTTTTGGGGGGGTCTTCTTGTTTGGGGAGAGGGGGGGGTACTTTGTTTGTTGGGTGGGGGGTACCCCCGTTTGCAATCGGGTATTCGGATACTGAGAGAACCAACCTCAAAGTTGCAACCGTGGCTACGTTATAACTTAAGTGGGGTGCCCCTATTCTGACACATACTTGGAGATGCTTGAACTGTTTTAGGATATGTCTCCTAGGACCATGATTTAGATTGGCTTCAAAGTCCCCCCACAACCCCATTCTAATCGTTGTTGGTCCTTACAGTACAAAGGTGCTAGAGTCTGAATGTATCCATGTGATGTTCATATTTGATCAACATTTCCAGCAATCCAAAAAGCAATGTTTTCTTGGGAGCCATCAAAAACAGGAGACTCTCTAATCTTCCCATGTCCCCTGGGAAACCATATGTTTTGACTGTTGCCGTGGGGGAACTTTCCATGGTATGTCACTTTCTGTGAGCGGCTAATTTGGACTTCTGAATACAATCGACGACACTCGGGATGGCACTTTGGATGGGTCTCAAAGCCTTTTTGCTTGCAGTATCTGAGGGACAACTCAAATGTGGGTAAACTCTTCTAGACTGCCATTCCTGTTGGGGTTGCAAGCGTTTAAGAAGGCTCGAAAACTCATGGACACTTAGGAACACCCTCCAAGGCCACATAAGTCCACACAAAAAGGTCTGGCCAACCATCCAAACACATCCCTAGATTTGCACTCTACAAACTTCAATCCGCCAAAGCAAGCTCACGTGAAACTGGCCTTTCCAGGCGAGTAATTACCGCAACCTGGCGGGAGAACCTCGGAAACTGAACCCCTCCGGTTTGAACCGGCGAGCAGCTCAGGCGCGTCTGTGGCGCCCATGAGGAGAGCGCACGAAAACCAGCGGCTTTTGCCTCGACTGGGGTTCCCCCGAGAGAGCCCCAGATGCCTCCCTTTTTGTTTGGTCCATTTTAAAGGGGAAAACTGGGGGGGGAGGTAGGTTTTGACCAGCCAGATAAAAGCGTCTCTTGAGGAGTGTCTAGTTTTGACACATAAGCACAGCCCAATTGATGGCACCTCCTTTCTCCCGTTCTAAGCTAAAAGTTGGCTGGTTTGGAACTCGCTTTGCCAAGTGCGAACGAATCCGGGTATCTCACTGAGTGCACGACCTTTAGTTGGAGTTTTGGGGTGGGCAACAACCAAACGCACAGCAAATAAAACCATTTTGGTCATTGTTTTTTTCCCGCCCTATTCAAGACCGAACCGGAAGGGAAGCCAAAAGGCAACCAACCATGAGGGGACACAATGCCCATCTCGAGGCAGCTGCGTGGTGGTTGAAATCCAGGGGTTATCAAAAGGTTTTCATGGGTAGCGTTTGTGCCGTTTCGACGTCGGCAAAACGCACTACGAGAAGAGTTTTAAAAGCTGATTAGAAGCCCTGCTTACCTTCTTCTTTCAAAGAGACCGACATTGTACGACTTGCTGTGGGTCAAACGCAATGTTGCATCATGTTGCATCTGTTAGAACATTACATGATTACATGTCTTCAATTGCTGTACTTTGTGTAAAGAGGACGATTATTTCTTCGGACTCCGCGGCAGGCCCCTGTAAAAATCGGTGGATTCAAACTGCGGCCAGGACTGCACCTGGCCAGACGCCTGGAGTGTCGCCTTCGACTTCCCGTAAGGTGTTAAATTTTCTTCGGTTGTGTGTGTGTGTGTGCTTTTTTTTTGCGGTTGGTGCAGTAGAATTCTTCAATTCACCCAGATGTATGAAGCATCTGCCCTTGAAACACATGGCAACATGTTCTGAGATAGACTCATAGATGAGGGTTGCCTCGAACCCTATTATACTAGAACGGCGGTGAAATTGGGCACACGAATCACATTGCAACCAGGAAATGGAGGCCGGTATGGTCAAGCTTTGTCCTCTCTTGTGTCCGTCATTGAGATTAGGTTCCGTCTCGAATTTCCCTCGATATTTAGCATCAGCACCCTGTGTTCAGACGGTTTCAATATCCCCAAAACAAACGCGAGTCGCAGTCGGACCTCTCGGCCCCCAAAAACAATCGACCCCCCCCCGTCTGGTTTTTCTCCGGTCCCCCCCCCCTTCCCCGACCGAGGTAAAAACAAGGTGTGTTCCAACTTGTGTTCTTCGTGTACTTGAACAAACCAAGGGGTCCTTCCAGCATTCCAGCACATCCAGGGCTGAACTCGGCTGATTCAGGGCGTCTGGGCATGTCCCAGAGGCTCCGTGTGGGTAACATCAGCTGTTGTTCCACACAAAGTAACCCCCATATGGTAGGGCCTCCTAGGTGTCCTTTGGAAGACTCGACGTTTCTGGTAAATGACGAATTAGAACCAGACTGAAACGAGCTAAATCCATCCAGGAATCCATGGTGGGACCTCAGCTTCAGGAAAGCTTCATTGAGTTTGGCACTTCTGCTGATCAATTGTTGCCTTTGTCCCATACTGTGGATGGGCGAAATCCATTTCGCACCACCTAAGAAACCCTGGAATGATGATTCCCCAGAAAATACCAAGAAACATTGGCGTCCCATGGTTTCCAAGCGATGTGACAACCTATGAAGAGGCAACGGCACGATCGCCCAGGTCGGGCGTGACTGGCACTGGACTTCTGGACGGAGACCGCACCATGGTGGAAGGGACAAAGGGAAGTCCAGGGAGAGAAGTGCTCTGCAGCAGTATAGCTCGGAGAAATTGCTGGAAACCAGTAGACCCAGTTTGAAGAGGAGTTGTGTATGAATCTTATTGGGTATCTTGCTCTGGTCCTTCATAGAGATCCTGAAAAGATATCGCGGAGAACCTGCAAGAGATCTTGTAGAGGGTGCTCTCTACAGAACCATGATGGACAGCTTATGTATATATATATATATTATATATATATATATATATCGGGGATTCTCTCATGGATGCTGCGTGCAGATCTTGCCAAGAGATTCTTCACAGAGATCTTGCGCAGAGGTCCTGTAAACTTCCTCCCAAAGATATCTTGTGCTGGTCTTCCATAGAGATCCTCTCAACAGGTCTTGCGCAGGACCTGCACAGATTCCAAGTTGAGAGATATCTTTTAGAGGATGCTCTCTACAGATCCTGAACAGAAGCACGGACTTTCTTTCAGGGAAATCTTGTGCGGAACCTGTTTCTACAGGAGATATGGGAGCTTTGAGAAGGCTTCTGGTTGAAGAACGTGTGCCAGACCTTCTATAGAAACCCTGTTATTTCAGGAAACTCTGTACAGAAGCAAGTGGGCATTTGTTTGGCTACTTTCATGTTACCAACGTGGATTCCTGTCTTACAATGTTTTCCAAACATTTTTGTCCACTGTTTGGGGTCACTTAACAGGATAATTTTTCGTCCATAGCCATCAATGCTCAGCACCCGTTTGGTATCGACATTTCGGTTTGGGGCTTTCCGGGAATGGATCGCGGTAGAATCGTGCGTGAATTCCAGCTCCATGCCAAGTCTTGCCTTGGAACCTGAGAGCAATGCACCAGGAAGTTGATTTGGGTGGACTCCTTTTGCCAGGTGACCTGATTCTGGCATTTGTGATCAGTCCAAGTGCATTTACAAAAACTTCCCTTCGCAAGATGTTTCGCGGGAGTCCAGTGGTTTGGTGGTTTTCGGGCCACCCCCAGTGCAGTTGTGTTTTTAAATGAATGTTTGAGCAAAGGGCGCCCGTGCAGAGCCCAACAAACGAAGACACCAGTTTCATAGCCTCGTTTCCCGGGGGCAGATGCTGAGGGGTCCTGGTGGTGGCGAAAGCATACATTTTGAAGTAAGCTCCTCCTTCCGTGTTTAGTGCGTTCACTCGTTCTCCGAAGTTCACAAAGGCGTTTCAAGGGCTGACCCGAGGCATCATGCTCCTGAAAACCTGCGGCGAGGGCCCCATCGTCCCGGGCTTTCCCAATGGCGACATCGCCACCGCCGCCGGAGGCGCTGCGTTTCTTGTTGGGGGAGGCAGGTCCAACAGGTTTGTCCCAAAACGGCGGAGCCCTTTTGTGTGGTGTCGGAATGGACAACCAAAATACTTTTTTTTTGGGGGGTGGGGGACCAATTTTAGACATCAAAATGGCAGAACACTGTTGCCCGGCGCCCAATCAAAACATCGAATTATGTGTTTTTGTTTGCGTTAGCTGAAGGCCGGTCCCGTTCCGTGCATTTGAAGGCCAGACCCTGAATCCAGACCTTCAGACCCGGTTGCGCCATGCCCTTTCTCGGGGTGTCTGATTTTTCCCCATGCCCGCTGTGCTTCTGAGATTGGCAAAAGAGGTCGGAGCCTGCGCACGCTTGAAGTTGTACGGGCATCGCAACAAAAGTCGGCTGAATTCAGTGGTCGTCTTTGCGGGATTGACTAACCATTTGAACAGTGCTTGGCAATTGATTTGCTGGTATGTTGTCAAGTCCGCATGATTTCAAATGTCCAATTCACTAGGGTGCAAGGAGTGCACTGCCGGGGCACATATCGCAGCTCATACTCGCCAAGCGTCTGAGCTTTCTGAAGCCAACTTCCAGAGGGACCCCAAGGTGTTTTTTTTTTCTTCCCCAGTTCGGTTGGCAGGTTTCCCTACTCATTGTTTTTTTTTTTTAATACAAGGGCGCTCTCTGTCTCTGGCGCTGACCTGACTCACACCGACTCGACAGGTGGGGGGGATTACAGCTTCGGCGCGGACAACCTGATCCGTGCCGGCGGCCACGAGTACGTCGGAGAGCCCAGAAGCTCCCGAGCTCGGGCGCGTTGCAAAAGGGAAGCAACCATTTGGCCGCCGTCTTTGTTGGGTGGGTACTCCTTCTGGAATTTGGTTTTCAAATTGAAGCTGAAAGGGGAAAAAGCAACACATTCTGGGGGGTCCCCAAAAGTTAGACACACCCATTGGGTTAGTGGAGGAAAACCAAAAGGAAACCAGGGGGAGGCCTTAAGATAATCTAGGAAGCTAAACACTTCAGGGTCCTAAATTTTGAGACAAACCTTTTGGCCTTTTGGAGAATCTTTCCCCGTAACAAGTTCCACTTGGGTCAAGTGGAACCGCCTGGGACAGAGCCGAAGAGGACACATGTCGGTTTGTCTTCAATGGATATGGAACCTTCGACACTGGCGCTTGCTCGGCGTTTTTCTCCCTTTCGAGCAAGCCCAAGTGTAGCCTCGCCAAAAAGGCGCGCTCAGAGTTGGCAACTGGTGGAAAGAGGGCCAAGGAGCCCCCGGAGCCACCAGGAGTGTCCGCTGGCCGGAGCTTTGCAATGTCAGGTGCTGATGGACGGCACGGCACCTCCTCCCCACCTCCACCCCCTGAATGTCCATGGAAAACCACAAGGGCGCTAAACGTGAGAGAGCCGCTTGGAGGGGCATCCCTCCTGAACTGGGGAAGAGTCCTCGCTTGATTCCAGCTCACCAGCTGAAGTTAGCACTCAGCTTTGGATCCTAGAGCATGGGCCTTATCAATTGCTCGGGCCAAGGAAGTTTTTCTCGCTTCCTGAGTTCCGTTTCGGACTTTAGTCACTTTTGTTGGGTTGAAGTTTGGACCATTTGGGTGGTAAACAACCAGTTGTCGGGTTTCTTTGGCCAATCCACGGAATCAAGCTTTAGAAATGCTCAACTTGTTCAGGAATTCCAGAAGGTGGGAGGGTGTACTCTCAGAGAGACCCGTCGGACATGGAACATTCTACCGGGAAAAAAAGAAAAAGAAAACGGAGACTGCAAAATCCTTGCAGACCAACCGCTTGCAACATGCCAGGCTAGAAAGCTGGAGGTTCTTCTGTTTGTTCTCTTCACGGCGCAAAGAACCCACCAACTTGTGCTGATGGGATCGAACAGGAGCAAGACCTGCTGGTTTGTTAAAGCCAACCAGGGGTCCTTGAATTTTGGCACACGCCCAGAGGGTCTAAGTACTGCATGAGGATGGCTTTTGAAAGGGGCCTAAGTAATTCTCTAGAAGGTACTTTGACCCTCTGGGAAAAGTGGTTGCTACAAACGATTTTGGAAAGAAACGAGTTGCTGCTACCAAGTGGCGGTTGCCCTTGCCACAGGCCATGTGCTGGTGCCAGCCCAGTGCGGAGCACGCCGGGGTTCTCAGGTGACTCACGCCAAAGGGTGTGCCATATTTGTGTGTCTTTGAGGGGGCATATGTTTTTGCGGGTATGGCGCTACAAAAACAAACACCCCGCTCGGGGGGAATTTTCGAGACAAAGCCCATACGACCTCACACCTGGTTTTTATTTTGTGCCCGATGCAGGTTCTTGCCTGGGGCTGGAGGTTTGGGTCCCCCCCCCTTTTCCTCGTGTTTTTGGCGCTTTGCCTTTTGGAGCCTGCGCTGTCTTAGTTTTTGCTCCGCGCCCAGCACAGCCACCGCTTGCGGGCACTTTGTTTTCTCACCTCCCCGTTCCCGAGAACCTTCAGGCGACGCGGTTTTTTTGCAAGGCTAGTATCAGGAAATCCCCAGTTTGGAGGAAACCCCACCATCCCAGCCTCCAATCCAAACCACCAATTCGGAAGCTGATGGGGTTAGCCAAGGGTCCTGTGCAGAGGTCCCGTGAAAGGGGTCGAGGCTGAAACGCGAGGTTGCCTTGGTGTTTCCGTGGAAAAATATGCGTCCCCTGTGGCACATATGGCGATGTCCTTTTGGTTTCCCTTTGAGACCCCATGTAAAACATATGGCGATGTCCTTTTTGTTTTTCTTTTGCGACATCCTGTGATCCCAATCGATGCTAAGAAAGGGGCCTCCCCTTCAAAGCGATGATGTCATACGGGAATGATTGGCATCGCTTCGATGCCGGGGCTCGCCTGCGTCGTGCCCTCTCCTTTGCGAACGGGCGCACCCGGTAGGGGAGAACGGGCTTGTTTCCACCATGTGTTGATTTGCTTAATTGTTCCCACCATTGAAACGGCGGGATCGTTTCCGCTCCAAATGGCTTTCGGCTTGGCAAGCCAAACTTTTGTTTCGGACCCCTGGGGGTTTCGGTCGAATCCCTTGGTTTCGGCTTCCCTTTTCGGTGTCCCAACCGGGCCCCACGTGAGCCGCGTGAGTCTGTGAGCACCGGCGCCAGGTGTGCGCTGGCCCCCGGAACTTCCTCACGCCTGCGGGCATCCTGCAACGAGCCCCAGACCGCCGCGGAGAAAATCCGCGGATGGTCCGTGGACCGCGCGGTTTTCTCCTGGGACCCAAAGGGTTGATGTGAGTTGTTTATGCTTTTTGGGGCTATGATGGCTATGGCTATTCTTGTGGTGTTGGATTTGTTTGGATTGGGGGTTGGACTTAGCAGGGAAACGGAAACGCCCACCGTTTTGAGGCCCGATTTTGAGACACAACCAAGTTGGCGCTTTGCAGGGCGTCATCTTCAGAAATCAGCCATCCATGGGAAACTCAAAAGAACAGTGCCAAACGAGTGATGCCTGAACCAGCCAGAAAGGGCCACATGTTTTTTGCAGGAACTGGCGAGCTTCTGTCAGTACTGCTTTCTCCAACTCTATTTGCCATGTGCTCATGAATCACAGGTCAGAGATGTTAGGCAAGGAGCCTTTGGATCAACACCCCAAAAGCTCCGATACCGAACCATGGGCCTGAGGATGGCCTCTGCTTTCTCTGTGGGGCTTTCACCAGTGCCGAGCGATCGAACCGGACTGTGGCCTTTGGCTGTTTCCAGAATTGAGCAATGGTCAAGAGTCACCGCCATCTCACCACATCATGAGGGCAACTTGGTGATGCTAGCATGACGTGTTGGTTGCCAGCTTAGAGTGCTGCCTTGAAGTGGGGTGATGTTTATAGGATAGGGAATTTAATGAAGACGTAAAGGAGACACCCAGATCATGTGTTTGAGCAAGTCCAACCTACCCTTGGAGTTGCAAGGGGCCGCATTTGGTTGGTTTCATGTTTGTCACCTTTTGGTTCCGGCAATCATACTACTTGTATAGCAGCGCTTGGATTTCACACGGTGCGAGGATTGTGTCTGGTGCAGCGAGCGACCACGACGTCAGTTGCGTGCAAGGGCAGAGCTGCAAGGCGTCCTCGAGCCGCTGGTTGGCGGTTACGTGGTCGCAACATATGGGCATGGCTCGTTGTTTGTGACGCACCATTTGGCTGGTTTGAAGCGAAAGCAAAATGAGCACCACTTTTGTGGCGTCCCTATTGTGACACATGGGTGTGGCCTTTTTTGGGGGACCCGGCCCCCCAAAAATGGGGTACCCTCAAAGAAGACAAACGCAAATATCGGGTTTTGAACACAGAGGCGTCGGTCCACCTTTTGGAAGGCGAAAAAGCGGGTTCTTTCAAGGTGCAAAGATTTCGGAAGTGGTTGGCCCACGGAACCGGCATATCCCCTCAATTGCCAAAGCCGACCTTACCTGTTGCTAGGTGCCCCAGTGCCCTTTGACCAACTTTTTTTGGGGAGGGTTCCCCGTGTCTAAAGTAGAGTACAGAAAAAGTTGGTACTTTTATTCTAACCTCTCTACCGGAGGACCTAGGTTGCGTTGCAGTCAAGGTCCAAGAGCAAAAACCTTAATTTCCAGCTCCTTTGGGCAACCGACACATTAAGCAGGTGAGAAGCCAGGTGTTCAGGACATCTTCTGCCACCTCACTTTCAAGTATGGTCGTAGCCTAGTTAAGTAAATTGAACATCCAAGAATCCAGTGGTCTCCTTGCTTGTTGCTTTTGTTGTTTTTGTCCAGGTCCTTGATCCTGGTTGCTCTTTGGTGTCACAGACTGGCTCCTTAGCCCTTTTGGAGTCAGGTGGCACTTTGGAGATGTGTGCAGATCGCAAGGAGGACCTTAGCCCTTCTGGCAACCAATGTCTTTCTCTGAATCTACAGCAGGTCTAACCTTTGGAGCATTTTGCTTGGATGTTAGGACTTTAACTTTTTGCCAACTAATGGGGTTTCCATTAAACCACTAAAAGTTAAACTTTTAGCAGGGAAGCAGAAAGCAACCAAGTAACGACCTTTTTCTCCTTCGGGGGCTACAAGTCGGCCGCCAGTTGCTGAACTTCCACGGGGTGGGCCTCACAGATGGCGACCAGGTCCAGGCAGTCCGAGCGCGGGATCTGAAACGGAGGTCTCGGTTGCGGGTGTGTTTTCGGTTGTGACCCGCCAAGAACATCGACCCATGCTAATTCTTTCGCTATGATTGTTGATGGGGAACCATGGACACGAATCCCCAGGCGGGGCGGCAAGTCAAGAGGGCGCGTTTGCCGTAGTGTCCCTTGCAGCCAAGGCTGCTTGTTGTCTGAAGCTGAAGTGTCGGCATGGCTTGTGCTTGATTTGTTCCTTTAAGCTCCCCAAAAAAGGAGCTATGACGTCCATCAGTAGGTTGATAGCCCAGAACAGGCCTCCTGTTCGAGGTGCTATTGGAGTGTGGCACGAGCTCTGCTCCTTCCAACTGGCCCAACGGCGCCATAGCGGCCGGACTCCCGGACTTTCCGGGCTATGTGGGACTTGGGGGGCAGTGGGGAGATCTGGAAGCCAAACAAAATTCTATTCTTTTCAGGGACCCTTGTTTCGAAAACACCACCAAAAACCCTGGGGAAACAGCTGGTTTTCATAGTACAGCTGTTCGCAGAAGGGGTTCCGCAGTTCCGCATATTCCCCTCTAAGCCTGTGCTGTTGGCACTCTCGCTCAAGTGGATGTATTCTTCCTTCGTCAATGCGATGTAGACTGGATAGGCCGATGTGTTGCTTTAACAGAACCCTCCCATGGCACACCCAGATTCGTGGAACTGCCGCTCCGAACCAAGGTGCGTATGCGCCATTGTTCTGCTGGGTAAAGGAGAAAGATCGGGGCAATTGCAAGTTGGGATCTGCTTCGGTGGTACGAGTCGAACTTTTTTTTCCTTTTGCCTGGCCTCGCTTTTTGCGAGATCCATCCGCTGACCAACTTGAGGGCTTGCCTTTCCGGACTTTCGGAAAGGATCCCTCGGTGTGGACACCACCCCGTCATCCCCTCGCCGGGACCAATGCACCAATGCACCCGCTTCGGAGGGACTCAAACATCCCCACGTCTGCACCAAAGTGCGAGGGTGGCTCCTGAGGTTGGCGAAAGGGAGTTCCGCGCATGTTTCTGGGGGTTGATCCCAACCATTCTTTGCAACCATCGTTCTTATCGTTTGCTGGCGTCATTCATTGAATCTTCTCACAGATCAACCGCCATGTGAGGTTGGCCCAAGCTTTCCAACAGTCTATGGTCCATTTGGGGTTCGGGACATGAGGGATACTTACTAAATTTCCCACACACAGCTAGGCGACGCACCAAGTTTTCCATGTCCTCTGGGGAAACCTGCTTTTTGTTTTTTCGACCAAGGCCCATGTGAGCAGCACCCCAAAGACCCACTGGCCGTTTCACTGGAAGGTTGTGAAGTTTAACTAAGGGGGCCACCAATGAGATAGTCGATGTCGGCAGGTGCCAAACGGAAGGCTAGGCCAGTTCCTGCAGCCAGTTTTAAGCCACGGCAGACTGCTTTGACCAGTGGAAAGCTGGCAACGCGCACTTTGTGGATTGGGTATGGGTCAAAATCAGACCAAGTTACGGGCTTTTTGTTTGCCCGTATGTTCCATTTACCACAGCCCATTTTGGGGTTTTCCTACTGTGGATGGACGAAATCCATGTCGCACCATTTGGAAACCATGGTTGAAGCCAGGGCCATAACGTTTATTGGTATTTCCTTAGGGAATCATCATTCCAGGGATTCTGACGCGTCCATCCACTGTGAATCGTTCCAGGGTTTCTTAGGTGTGGTGCGAAACGGATTTCGTCCACTGTATTTCTGACAAAGCCACGAACCCTTTCTTCAGGTGGCCACAAGCGGGGGAGCGGAGTACCTCACCTGGGACGTGCCCGGCCAAGCGGCGGAAGCGAAAGGTCAGGAGGTAGGTCCCAGACCCAGGTGCCCAGTGGCGCCCTTTTTTCCTTGTTTTTTTTAAGATTCCCCTTCAAACTCAACCAACCAAAGTAAGCCAGCACCCCCCAATGGCTGGCCAATTGCCGGCACATCGATTTTGGGCAAAACAATGTCACTTTTTGTCTAAGTGACTGCAAAAGCAATTTGCTATCAAGTATCACTCATCTATACTTAGTGCAATTTGTGCAATGATACAAGTGACCTTTCAGGGTCCTTTGGAATGGACAAAGGGGAGAGCAGCAAATTTGAGGTTTGGAGGGCAAGTTTGAGGTTGGGAGGGGTCTTGAGGGGCGTGTCACGGCGTGTCACGGCGTGTCGGGGGGTGGCCAATTGCCGGCACATGTACGTTGAACGGTCACTTTTTTGGGATATGAGCGTGTCACCAGCGTGTCGCCCCCCCTCCCCCCCCGCGCGTTGCATGTGCAATGATCATACATGCCAGCCCAACCCCTCAATTGGATCCCCTCTAGTATCCTGAAATGACGTTTCAAGAAAAGTGACTTTTCACGGCACTTTGAAGTAGCGGCCTTGCAAGACTCAATCCATGTTACAGGGGCCAAAAGAAACCACCTGTGTGTGGGGATACCCCAATGTTGAGACAACCCCATTTCGACATACACACTATATCATATTGACAGCTACAGGGTTGGATCTTTAGACTTTAACCTTTTGGGAAATCAAGGGGTTTTCCACTAAACCCACCCGAGAGTTAAGCTTTTTGCAGGGGGGGTCAACAGCAGCCAAGATATGAAACATTCCTAACGCCCGAGCCGCTCTTAGCGGCTTAGCAGTCAGCTGCCGAGGGTCAAAGCCTCGATGTCCAGTTCGGCAACTACAGGATCTGCGCCTTGGATTCATCTCGCTAGTGCAGGGCTTGCACAGCTAGCCCCCAGTAGTGCCCTTTTACCAACTTTTTGTTGGTTGGGAGGGTTCCCCGTGTCTAAAATAGACTACAGAAAAAAAGTTGGTACCCTTATTCTAACCTTTCTACTGGAGGACCTAGACAAGAACCCTGTTCAGAGCCGTCTCTCAAAAAAGGTCTGTGTGCACACAAAAAATCAGGAGAAGCCCAGGTTCGGGATCATAGACCTTAATATGTCCCTGAGCTAGGTTTTGTCTTACACCCCGTGGCGCTTTGTTCTTGGAGTCACAGATTTCACGCCGCCTGCAAGCCACACCTCAGGGGAATCCTGGAAATCTGGCAACCCAAGTGGAACATCTGTTTGAATTGAAGGTTAGTTACAGTTTCCCAGAGCTCCTGAGGGGTTTTGGTTCGGGCAGGTCGTCTCCTTGATGGTCAGTCCTTCAGTGGAGGTCCGACCATCGCAAGAGATCCTAACTGTGGGTCATGACTACCCCATTACAAACCAGGGGACGCAACATATCCCATGTTCGTTTGGGCGGGCATGAGCATGGCAGCCATGGCATCATGGCTGTCTGCGGTTTCTGGAACGGGCGTTCGTCAAGGTACCAGGCAGCATAGTCTACATTGGTACTCGAATTGGCATCATGCCACACCCTTGGAAGGTGGGAAGGTGTCCATTTTTCTGCAAGCTTGTCCACCATCCCCAAACCAGTAGCCCAGGGAAAGGTGGGTATATAACCCTGATATACATCCCGTTGGTTTGGGAGTATATAATGGAAGCCCTTCGAATGGAGTTCAAACATAATTTGAGGGCATTTTTTGGGGGCGTCAACCTGGAATTCGAAGAGAGCAGCGAACAACCATCTCAGAACTGGAGCGGACAAGGGGAATCCGACTGTTTAATTAAAACAAAGCATTGCGATGGCCAACCAGGCCCCTGGGTTCCAAGATCCAATCATCCAAGGCTGGTGCAAGACCGCCTGGACATGCGCAGACCCGGCGGGCGCCCCAAAAGAAAAACAAGCGGCTCCGAGTCCGCTTTCGCGTCGCCGGATCTCGGCTGCTCTTTAGGCCCGTGTGTTGCAGGATGCCCTTTTTGGGGTTTAAGACTTTGAAACTGGAGCTGTTTGAGCAACTCAACTCCTGCAAAGGTCAAAGACATGTTCAGATGGGTGGGCCCCAAGCTGGATTGATGAGAGCTTTGGCCAAACGAAATGCTCGGACACGTACTTGGCACTTAACAAGTGTTGTGCGGTTGTCAGTGAAGATGCACCAACAAAGGTCCCAATTTGGGTTCGTGCCACAATAGGGAACCCTCCAAAATGATTGGCGCCGTCCCTGCCCATTGGTGAGTCTCCTCTCCACATTAGTATGCATCTATCATTCCGCCAGTAATCCACTGTATATGTTTGTTTGATGAGTACCTTTGGGTTAAGGAGCGGGCAAAGGTTGCCCTGCTATGCAACTGAGAGCGTTTTTTGCAGCTGACTCAGCTAACAAATCTTGGCAACCTTTGGTGATGCCATTGCTTCTTGCTTCCAAACACGGCGTGAGAGATCTCCAAGATGCTGAAAAAGGGTAGACCATGCTGCTGGCTGGGGCAGACACATGTCGGCCTTTGAGATACCGAGCGTGTGTATTCATCCGGTGTGTGGGTCGGTGTCGGTGTCGGTGTCTGTGTCGGTGTCTGTGTCGGTGTCGGTGTCGGTGTCGGTGTCTGTGTCGGTGTCTGTGTCGGTGTCGGTGTCGGTGTCGGTGTGGGTGTGGGTGTGGGTGTGTGTGCGTGTGCGCGTGATGTTGTTGGCTCGTTTGGTTGGAAAACGTGCTCAGAAGCCTACATTTGCCTACCCTCGACTCCCCAACCAACATGGAAGGTCGCTTGTAGATGGCAAAGATTGTCCACCATCTCGGCAGGGCCTGGTCGGGTCTGTCTCCTTTTGGCGAAAACGTCGCTGTGTTTACGTGGAATTTGGCCTCCTGTTGGCGAAAACGTTAAAAACCACCGCGTCTTTCAGGCATCCTTCTGGGGAAAACGTGAAGGTAGCCTGCACGTGCAACCATGTTTTTTTTTGCGACAGAGATTAAGAAAAGAAACAACCGGATAAATTGGAACGTGGCCAGGTTGATTTGAAGGAAATCCCGAGGTACGCAGTCTGAGAGGGTAAGCCTATGGCTGTCACTCGAAGTCAGGAAGCCCATGGCTTGTTTCCTTTGGCTCCTGAAAGCCATTCTTCAGGGAGCCAGGTGTTTGGGATTGGTGGTTTGGGATTTGAACCGGCGGGTAAATGGGAAACCCCTCCTCAACCACCAAACCAACAATCCAAACCACCAAGAGGGAAGCTGAATCCCAGCTGCTTCGAACGGCTCAGGCAGACTTCAAGATGGATGCTGGTGCATTGCGGGCACAAAGCCTCAGATTGAAACCGGAGCCAATCGAAGGGAAGCAACTGAAAACCCCAACTTGTGGGAAGCCAACTGACGCGTTTTTTGGAGTTTTTTATACCCTTTTTCGGGTTGGCTGAAAGGGACATCAAAGAGGAGTTTCACAGTTTCAAGGTCCCAACCGATTTGGACGCCTACCCAACAGGGCAATCAGCGGTTTAATCAATCCATAGCAACCCATAATATGGGGCTTGCTCACAAAATATGTTATGTTCTGGGCGTTTGCAGGTTTTGCTTGTGGAAAGCAGCTGTCCAAGCCTTGTTTTGATTCCAAGTGCACCTACGAAAGGACTTTGAGAGTTAAACGCAGGCAACGGTGCATCAACTTACATGGCGGTGATTTGCACGTGCCAAAGTCCAACAACAAAACGCTTGGCTCAAAGCCAACAGGCGTCTTGCATTGCTTAGCCACTCCCTTTGCTAGCGGCTAGCCGTACAATCATTTGTGGGGATGGTAAAGGGCGCCCGCGCTTGCAAATTTATTGCAGAACTCGAAGCTTCACACTTTGCTGCCAGTGCGAGTCTCCGCAGGTAGTGGGCATCAACCAAGGACAATCCAGGCGGGGTGTTGGTTTTGGTCTCCAGTTGAGTCGGTCGGGACGGGCCCATCCTGAATTTCTTCTGGCTACTTGCCATGATCAACAGGGTATTACCTCAAGCTCAGAAGCCGGCACGAGACGGTTGGGACGCATCCGATTTAAGATGCAATGACCTCGAGTGCAAACATCCGTGGAATCGTGCTCTAGGTCGATCCAGTTGTCCTTAGCAAAGTGATTGATAGTCCACCGCTTATATCGTCGGAAGCGGGCCACTCACATCACCCGTGCCCTCTTCTGGAGCCAGAGCTATAGTCTACGTTTGCCGCGATCTTCCATTTTTGTTGGAATCCACCGATCTACTGATCAGCCATTTCAGAAAGGAGTCAGTATGCCTCAGACGTGGATTCGATGCCCATTCGCTTCGGACTCCGGAGGACTCCCAGGAGATGGGTTTGGCTTCATGAGCTTTTTTAGGCGACAGAACTTTGGGGCGCATTTTGCCAAGGGATGTTAGGACTGAAGAACTTTTTGCCAACTAATTTGGGTTTTCCGTATTAAACCCACGAACAGTTTTTTTTTTTTTTTTTTTTTTTTTTTTTTTTTTTTTTTTTTTTTAAAAAAAAAAAAAAAAAAAAAAAACAAACACATTTTAGCAGGGGAGCAGATTTCGCAACCAAGATAAGACCAAAGCGGGCCTTGACAGTTGGTCGGTTTCTGGGGGGAAGTGGTTGAGCCTCTTGCAGCTGTACATCCACCAGAGCTTGCTCAGTTCCCAAGGCTGACCTTTTTCTTTGGGCATAAGGGGGGGTAGGTGTACGGTTGTGGTTCACGAGTTCTGAGCCCATCGTGGTGGAGAGGCAGAGGCTTCGCAAAGCAGCGATCCTTTGTGGGGGCCCTGCAAATGCAGCTAAAATTAATCCCAAGTGACAGAACTACTGCTCGTTTATTGTTAACGCTCGCCGCTTCGACTGATTGGGTGCATTGGGGGGGTGATGCTCGCCCATGTCTGAGTTCGCCTGGGTCTACAGGGGTGAGATTTACAATTATATGTCCACAAAGGACATCGTGATGTGGCAGTCGACGGTCATGGTCTACTGGGTGGCCGGCCTCCTTTGTGGGCATGACTCACTGCTGAAGAGAAGCGTCCTAAGGCGGAAGGCAACCTTCCCAACTTGAAAAGTCCGCTGGCATTTGCATGGTTGTTGTTGGGACACTTGTTTTTACACATTTTTGCCTATTGTGGTTTAGTGGTTGAAATCCAACTTAACTGCTAAAATCTGCCCCTAAATCACCACTTAACTGCTGAAATCTGATTTTTGTAGCTCCCCTTCCAACCATCAACCAAGTTTGCGTTCCACTTCGCTCCTGCGCAGGTCTTGCCACGCAGGAGCGCCCTGCCTGGTGGCGGGCCTGCTGGGCAGCAATCTCAGGACAGCGCTGCTGTGGGGTTTGGCTGAGGTGACTTTGGCTCGGGGAATGGGTTTGCCCTTAGCCACCATCTGGGCTAGGTCCCCCATCTAGGTGCCCTTTGACCAACTTTCTTGGGAGGGTTCCCCTACTAAAATAGACTACAGACGACAGGGTACCCTTATTCAAACCTCTCTACTGGAGGACCTGATGGGTAAATTTGTGAGAATTTTGTGGACCCATGAGGCTGGGTGAACTACAACGACCTCACACGACCTCACCCCAAATGGAGGTTTATGTGGGGGATGGCCCCCCAACCACCGCAAGTTTCAGGTTGGTGAAATACCATAATTCACCCAGATGAGGGCAGTGGGCGTTGAGACCTGGGTCCCATGAAGCTTAGGGATTCCTTTTTCTAGAGGGGCACGTTGACCGTCCAATAGTCACCCTTGGTAGTTTGTGACCCTGGTTGTTTGCCTTCAAGGGGATAAATGCTGGTATGCATGTGTTTCCTCTTCAACCATTCACGAATGTTGGGATGGCTCGGGTGCTCCCAGAATTGCAGGCACAGATTCCAGCTCGCATGCCGCATTGTGCGCCTCACGCTGCAGCAATCGTCTATTGTCAGTGCTGTTAGCACCCATTTCGGGCAAATCATGTTTTAGTGCCCATGTGTAGTGAACCCTTTGTTAGCACTCATTCGGGCGAACACCAGCTCAGCGGTGATGAAGGCACTTTCCTCGTAGGCTCGCCTAGGTTCCGCTGTGCGAATTATTCTAGGGGGTGATTCCTTGTCCATTCTTTTCAACCATTGTTCTTTTCGCAAACCGGCTGCTTCCCCTGGGTTTTTGATGGTTTCCCTGGAAGAATGGGGAAGGTACCCCTAGAATTCTACTAGTTTGACCTAGACCCATGGAAGAGTTTGGGTTTTCTGTTGGCCCTGAAGAAAGGACTGACATGTAGGCCACCGGAGACTTGCAAAGCGAATTGTTGGTTTGAGTGTTTTCAGCTTGGTTTGCTTGCAAGCGGGTTGCGGAAGGAGGCAATTTGGCTTACTCCAGGCTCCAGAATGGACACTGAGGTTTTGAAAGAGGAGGCATACTGAATATTCCATTTGAGGTTTGTTGAGCCTCGTGCGCTACCTTTTACCATCCCTCTCTCCAATGAAAACTGACAGGAGGGCTAGTCTGCCTCCCTCTTCCATGATTTGTTGTGTGCAGTTTTTTTTGTCACTTTTGCACGTCTCATCAGCTAACAGAGCTTGATGGGAAATAGGATTGTGTTTCAAGGGGACCCTAGAGCGGAGCTTCATTTTTAGGGGACCCACCCACTTCAAATAAGTGGTTGGTGGGTATTGAGGGTATTTTCCCTGCAGGTTCCTAAAAGTTGTTTGTGTTTTTTTCGTGGGAATCCACCGCGAGGAACGGGGACCTCATCAAGGTTATGACCGAGTGCGGTACGGGTGACGAGGCCGCGGCAGCTGGTGCCGTTTCATCTCGGGTTCTGCTCGCTGTAAGGCCGGGAAAAAGTGAGAGCTCCTGAACAGGGTCTGAAACAACCAGTTAACCAGCACTCTTTGGACATGGAATTCCCACTATTTTGAAAGATGATTTGTTTGGAGGCTGGCCCCTGGAATTATTGTTTGCAATTCCAGTTCCCGTGTGTAAGGACGCCAAACTCCCTTTGCGCCTCGATCATGGCGGCACGATCAAGACCATGATCTTCTACCTTGCATGGCATGGCATGCATGGCCAAACTACGGGGTCACGGTCAAATAGAAGCGTGCTGAGACATGCATGCGGAGCCTGCCGCTGTATGCATACCAAGTGGACAGCAGGCAGCTTCGATGGGCCCTCGCTGCGCGGCCTTCACAACGTCATGACGCGCTGTAATCAGTCACAGCAGCCTCACGAGGCTGCTAAGTAACAGTAGGGTGTCTTGTTTAAGGTTGGCCCCACTAAAAATGCCACATGACTAGATTCCCCCTGCCTTACTTCCAGCCTCGCCATCGCTTTTCTGATCTATCGAATTGTTCGGAAGATGCTTTGTCCATGTTCGGAGTTTCATCCCCTCGTGATGCACAGTCTGATTAGAAACAAGATATGATTTTCAGATGGCCGGGTTGCGCGGCATGACAGATCCTGAGTTGGCTGCCTGTATCAGATGAGTGAACGTACTTCTTCACTTGCCCGCATGGGTATGGGTCAAAATGAGTTACATCAGGGGACGGCTGTCTCTTGTCCTTTCCAGGGTTCGAGTTTGGGGTCCCCCCGTTTTTGACCCATAAAATCAGATTTGTGCCATCCACTTTCACAGACGAGTTCTTTTCGGTGAAATTTGCGACTCCAGGTCTTAGGTTTCCCGAATAACAGCACCTCTTTGCCGGCGCGTGGAGCCCAAGCGAGGGGAAGGGCTCATGCTGAGTGGGGAATTGTTCAACCTTTTGGTGTCAGAGGTGATGTTGGCTCACTCCAGACCCAACCCTTTTCTCATTATGTTGGGCTGCTTTGAAGCGAATTCAACAAGTTACCTATGTTGCAGGCATTTTGAGGAACCAGTTGGGTTGAAGCAGCACACGCGCTGACTCTCATGCGCTCAACAAAACCCAGGCAAGTACGAGAATGTTCACCGTCCCGACAGGACAAAACGTGCAAGTGAACAAATTGCTTTGCTTGTGCCGTTGTCTTGTTGTTCCAAAGAATACCATTTTTTTGAGTACTATGTTTAGATATTTTGAGACTGTCCCAAATTTTCACGCGCTATGCTACAGCACATCTACATAGGTCTGTGAACTTCTGATTGACACAACGGACCACACTCGAGAGAGATCCCATGGTCAGCAGTCTCCACTGATAGCATCGCTTAGAATTCCCAAAGGCAAGGCGCCACCAGTTTGGACATACATGCACCTTTTGTTGGTTTTCTTAAAGTGCCCTTTTGAGCCAGCTCAAGCATCTTTTTTGGGGGCTATACCTGGCTGAGATTCTCCTTGTGATGTTTAAGGCGGACATATGTGGAGCCCTGATGTTTCAACACAGGGTGTCTCGTCAAGAGACAACCTCGCCGGTCTAAATCTCCTCCTCTGCTTTACTGGAGGAGAGCTGCACCATCTGATCATCTGCGTTCGGCCTGCGCAACACAACATGCAAATCAAAGGCTTGGGGTTGAGCAACTGGCTTTCTTTTGTTGGACTTTGAACCCCCTCAGCCAAATTGTATCTCTTCCAGCTTCGCGGGATCCATCTCGGGCTCTTTTGGCTCACAGAGAAGAAGAAAGACTGCTCACACAGAATCTCCCTTGGAGAAATGTCTGGATTCCTCCTGAATTCCTGCTCAAACCACGAAAAAGACGGGTACCAACCAACAGCAAGCATGGATCCCAGTCTCTGAGGACGGATCTTGGCAGCAGCTACTCCTGGGGAGTGGCGGAGGTCGTCGAGGCGAGGCGGGTTCGGCGGTTCAAAGGCGGCGTTGAAGTCAGGGGAATGCTAACGTTGGAGCACCAGGCAAGCGTTGGTGGACTTTTTTCGTTGGATGCAGGGCCCAATCTTCTTGAAGATGGGAAGCGGTGGCTGCTCCTGTGTGACAAGAGACGTAAGCGTTTACTAGAGCTTGAATCTTTGGAAGTTCAATATCATATGTTTAGCAGCTAAACGTATGTTTGAACTTGCAAAGATTCAAGCTCTGATACTCCGAAACAGGCACCTTCGTCAATGAGTTCATGTACCCAGGCTTGGTGACTGAAGTCTTCTGGTTGGGGGCTTCCAAGGAGGCAGCCTCAGTTAAAGTTGCCATGGAGATTCTCAACGATTAGCAATTGTTGTTCTCCGCGTTTTAGGCATGTGCAGCAAAACGACGCGCTGGTTTGCACATTGGTTTCGGTTTATTTCCAGGTGACTTGGGCAAGCGAGGCCCCGAGTGTCAAAAGTATAGCAAGCCTGAGGCGGCTGTGGGCGCCTACAAGATGCCAGCAGCCTCAGAGCACGGAGATCTTTCCAGAATGGGTTGCCAGCATTTGTTTTTTTCCGAGGGTACCATACCCTTCTTCGGGTGTGGCGTAAAGGAAGCCTTTCAAAGAAACCAATCAGTTTGGGGGTGTCCTGGTTTGAGTACCCATACGTGTCTCCAAATGGCTGCCAGACTCAACACACCTTTTTGCCCTAGGCACTTCTGGGTTTAAAACGACTTTTGTTTTCAAGCGGTTCAAGTCATTCACGTTTTGCAGTCTCTCTCTCTCTCTCTCTCTCTCTCTCCAAGAAATGGATGGGTGGTTTCCTTTGGGTTTGAAACAAAGCTTCGGGCGCGAGGGACATGTTCATCATTGACCCAACGCCCTGGCCGATAGATTAAGCTAGGACGTTGTAGGGAACTTCTTTTTTTTTTTTTGCGCGGTGTTGAACACTATTTCGGGCGTCTAAAGACACGCCCAGGTCAGTTTCGGGGGTTTTTCCGCTCCGGCCCATGTGAAATGCTGACCCGGCCCTCCGGAATGGATCCCTGACATGCAACTCAAAGGTGCGAGGCGACCGCCCCAAATTCCCGTGCGAAAGGCTTAAGTCCCTGCAATGTTAACCCCGGATTAACAAACCCCTGGTTGATTTTGATTGGGGGGTGTCCCCTTTTAGTGGGGATTCAGACCACTTTTGGAGGGAGCACCCCCCAAAAAATGAGACGGGTTATTAATCTGGGTCAACATTAGCCTCCGAGCGGTCCCCACCCCGTTTTTTCCGTTTTGGCGCCATGTCGGTCGCTTCGAAGGAAGCCTCGTGCGCTGAGGTGTTGGTGCCCTTACGGCAACGCGGACGGCTGCGGCGACAAGGCCTTCTTCGTGTCCGAGGCTCGCCGCAGGGCAGGTCCCTCGTTTCCGGAAACGGCTCCATGTGCGACGCCCAGGTTCCCATCTTGATGATGGTACGCTTGGTGAATGTTGTAAGTCATCCAGACTGTTTGCTTGCGGGGCTTCCAGTCAAGCTTAAGGCGGGCTGTTTTGCCAGATAGCTTTAGACAGGTTCAACTTGCTCTTGAGGCGAATGGCGAGGCGTGGTTTGTTCTCTTCATGAGCACAACGGGAGATGCAGACATCCAGGAGTTGGTCCCATAGGCCGACGTGAAGGCACGGCTTCGCTCCAAACTGCAGGAGTTAAGTTGGTTTGTTAGTGCAGGATCCCTTTGCAGGTGATGGTTTGCTTGATTCCTTGCTGAACCACGTGGGGTGGGGCCGCTCGTGAGTGTGTGCTTCTTTGTTTGGCTCACGGCGTTCAAGTGTGTCTCCGTGTTCTGTGTCTCTTTGCATCTCGTTGCCAGTGTTTCTGTTGTGTTTGTGGGCTGTGCCCTTGTGTATTTGTTTATTTGTTTGCGTGTCTGCGTGTCGTGTGTTTGTGTGTTTGTTGTTTCTTCGTAAGTCTGTATGGCAGTGTGTCGATTTGCCGTGGGTGTGTGAACGCTTGTCCGTGTGCGTGTTCGTGGGAACCCTCCAAGCCGGGGCTCTCGGTTTTGGAGGGTTTCCAATGGCGGGCCTGAACCCCAACTTACAGCTCTGCCAGTTTTATGGCAAGCAGACCTGGTAAAACGAGCATGAAGACCCTTTGCTTGGGGATCCCTTATTCAGGTGTTGGACATGTTGCAAGTGCAGGTACCATTTAGGAAGTGACTTCGAACATGTTCGGTCCACTGGTTTTCGAGTTTTAAATTTTCGGCTCAAGCAAGTGCGCTTCCATGGTTGCAGGCCAGGTGGAGTTCTGGGATCGGGACCCAACCAGTCGAGCGCCTCCTTCACGTGATCAGTGGAGCGACACCCATGAAGATGTCGTGTACTGTCTGGTTCGATGTTTTTGTTGAAAGTTACTGCGGATTGAGACTGCTTCCAGGCCGAGGCTTCTTTGTAGCTTTGAAAGGAGTTGCGCATAGGGAGAAAGGGCAGTGTTTGCCTAGCCACCGCTTCGTGGTTCACGCGAAATCACCCCTTTCCAGTTTAGGTTTCCATAGCTTCCAATCACTGGTCAGCGAATAAGTCATGCTCCAAGAAGGCAGGGCCAATTGCATGTCCCACGCAGCAGTGGCGCCTGTTGTTTTCCTTTTTTGGGCAGGGGCTTCCTTGAATGTCAATAAAAGAAAGGGTGGCCAAGTGTTTCCCATGGAAATCCACTGGGGGTTTGGGATACGCCGCCCAAACCACCGGGGCGTTTCCATCATGCTCACTCATTCATAGACCAGCCCATGTGATTCCAAGGAATCGCCAGTTGTCCGAGTGATTCTTGCCGGCTCCTGAAGATATCCAATCTAAATTTACCACTACCCGCCCCCCCTGATGCTCCCATGCGCCTGCTGATGTAAACCTTGTCCCTTGCAATTGTGCGTTTATTATGATAATATCTATATATATATATATATATTATGCATAAGCCGTTTCTGGGCTGAGGCTGCTCAAACGGCCGTGGGTCCAGCAGACATTCGGGAGTCAACTGAACTAGCTGCAGAACCCCAACTCATCCCAGAGCGGTGTTGGAGGATGTGGGTAAGGACAAACGGTGGTTTAGTGTGGGGGGGCGTTTACGGTGTCAGGTGTTGGGCTTTGCGCATGTGCAATGCTACGCTTGCCCGGCCTTGGCTCATGTTTCCAGGCCTCTTCCTCCTTTGGTCAGTGGTTGCCGCGGTGCAGTTCGATGCTTGCTTCGAGTCCGAGTTTGCCAAACAGAATCGGACCTGGGCGGACGAGGACCGGGCTCAAAGGTTGCGCAGTGTTTTGTGGGTTGCGGATAGTGTTTTTGTTGGTCAATTGGGGACAGCAATTCGTAATTATAGCCACAGAGTGTAAAGCAAGGGCCATCATGAGTGATTTTCTGAACAGGCCGTCTAGCTGTCGATCTGAGGCTTCCTGTTGAAACCCAACGCAATTTTCACCACTTCTGCTGTCCCCGGTTTGTGACACAAACCCAACAGATAAACCTTTTTTATTGGGGGGGTCCAAATTCTTACTTTGCCGTGCAACTGAAAAGCTCGAAGCGCAGGACAAAGAGGTGGGCAAAAAGCTCGAAGCCCTCGAGCGGAGGTTTAAGCCCCTTGGCAAAAAGTAACCCTCGCGGGGTAGACGAACGTGCACATGCGAGGTGTGGGCCAAGCAAAGCACGAGCAGGTTGTTGTTCCGGGAAGGATGGCTTGGACTGAGTTTCCCGAAAGCAAGAGACACCCATGTGCAGCTAGAACGATTTTTCGAAAGCGGCTTGAGCAGCCACCCCAGATGGTTTAATCAACCCCGCGGAGTACTAGTCATTAGGGATATTAGGGAGCTAGCGCCAACGTGAAGGATTGCCGGTTCCCTCTTGAATGGAGCACCTTGCTATCAATCAGCCAGGGCTTTATTCATCCTGGGTTCCCATTACTCAGGAAGAAGCCCAACATGATCTTCATCCTGGCGGACGACATTGGCTCAGGGGAGTTCCTGATTTGCGTTTGGCATGTGTCTTCTCGATCTGTACCTCTAGGGAGACTTGAGCCAGAAAAGCCTGGAAATTGAAGGCAGGACGCAGTCCCAAAAGCTAGATAGGTGCGGATATCCCGTCTGAATATATTCACAATTTAGGTAGCCCAATGTAATACCTGGTGTTGACGATGACTCACTTTTGCACCTCGGATGGGAATCTCCCTGACTATGGCTTACCAGGAGTTCAACCGTGCCTACGACTGAGAATCTGAGCTCTAAAGTGCTAGAAAATCGGCGATCACTTCGCCAGCTTTGAAAGTTGAACTTGGGGGCTTGGTGTCTCATCCTGATGTTTTGGAGGCGCTGGGGCATTCCCACCGACATCAGGAATCGGACCCCCAAAGCCGTTGATTGTTTGCTACATAGAAACATCCTCCAAATGGTGGTCCTTCTCCATCCTTCGGCCCTGAAGATGTTTTGGGTATAGCTTTACATTTCCCTTCTGGGCCAGCTTTATGAGCGCCATTTTTTCGGTCAGAAGGGGACACAATGGTCGCTTTTTGTTGTTGCCACTGGTTTCGTGTTAGTTTTCCCCTGAAGACATCCTTCCAAACGGGAGCCTCAGGTGCTCAACTGAGCACCGCCCCCAAAACCCGCGTTGGCCAATTTATTTGCTTTCATGGACGTTTTAGCCGAGCCACAACTTTACTATTGGTAGGCACCAAAGGTCAGCTTGGGTTTTGGATTGGTGCCGCGCTGTGTGGCTCAAAATTCATGGCCCGACCGCATTCGTTGGTTAGGCTCAAACGAGAACGGGAACGGGTACAGTATTTGTTTTTTTTGTTGGCCCACTTTGAGACTCGGATTTTCCCGGCTTCCGATTCGAATCGCCTTCCGTACAGGTTGGGCTGGCAAGGGGGGGGCAAGCACCGGGGCACCCCGACGCCTGGCTTGGACGACATGGCCTTCAAGGGCATGCGCTTCTGGTCCGCCTACGCGGAGCCCTCCTGCACGTGTCTCGAACTCCCCGGAAAAAGAGGGGCTCCAACTTCCATCTGAGATTGAGAAAACCATGATATGTTTTTTGTGTTGGGTTGAAAGGGAATCTCTCGCCGGATGAATTCTTTTGTTTGTTTCCGGGCGAAAACGCGCCAATGGAAGCCAAAGGAGGTGCTTTCGCTCCGTTTCGGCTTGGTTCTCATCACTTTTTATTTAGACAAGGATGCCTAGGGTTGGGACCTTTTTCGATTCATGCGCTAGGCTCAACATGATTGACGCCCGGGATTTGAGACGAGGGCTTGAGCTGTTTCCGCAGTTTCCGTCAGTCCAGGTATTGGGGTCTGTCAAAGGGCGCCAAGGGCAACCCTCGAAGCGATTGGCCGTTTTGAATCAAGCACAGGGCGACGTTTCTATGCCCGGCTGGCCCCTCACATAAGATTCCTTATGGATGCCACACTGGTTTTCGACCCGCACTGACATGGGCCAGAATGCAACGAAATTGGAGTGTGGGGCACACACGGTACACTGCCGGCGAGCATGGAAGCTCCCCAATCGTCCTCTGTTAATGGAACCAAGTCTTCCAAAGGGGTCTTCCAAAGGGGTCTAGGAAGTAACTGACCCTTGGTTGATTGAAAGTAGCAAGGCTGGCCCCTTGACCACCCCTTTTGGAACAAAGATTTAGCCACCTTCGGATCAAGACCCAAGTGGGTTTTTCATGTCCAAGCGCCTGGTTGAGCCGTTCCAAAGAGGTGACCCAACTAATCAAGGGACTCTTGAGTTCCCTTTGGAAGAGCCCTTTGATTCTTTCTGGTCGGAAGGGAAGCGATTGGATGAACACCCAAATAGGTGATTCTCAAATTAAGGGGCCCAAGCAAAATGGCTTGTCTCTCTAGCTGCGCTTCCGCATCCACAGGCCCAGCCGCACCGCCATCATGACGGGCCGGCACCCGGTGCGCACGGGCCTCACCACGGTGCTTTGGCCCGGCCAGGAGGAGGGCCTCAGCCCAGACGAGGTGACGGTGGCCGAGGTGCTGCGCCCCGAATGGACATTTGGAGTTGGGCGCCAGGAGTGGCAGGAGTGGTCGATTTTGACTGTTGGAGGTTAAGTCAGAAAAAGGAATTTGTTGTTTCCCTTGAACCCACAAGTTAAGGGGTGACTTTGATCAAAATAATGGAGTGTTCCAGATGATGGGGGTTCGCAGCTATCTTGTTTTTTGGATGAAGAAAGCCAGCGCGGCCTGTTTAGCAAACTTGATGTTGGTATGTGTAGCTGTCTGACTTTGTAATTTTAGTCATATTTTAGTCAAAAGGCGATGGTATGGAGTACCGTTACTCGGACGGTGTAAGCCCCTCCAGGTACCACCGGGACCGCTCAAGCCGTCCCGTGGAAACCTCAAAATCGTCCGGTGTAATTTGAGTCAAAGCTTCAGAACGGTTTGGGCGCTGCAATCTAGGATGGGGATGGGTCCCAGTTGAGTGGCTACTCCTGGCTCATACGTCCTCTACGTAGTCTTCATGTGAATGACCTCATCGGGTCATTGATTTTGTTTCCAGCGAAAGCAGCTCGAGGACTTGTCCTAGTCGAAGTGGAAGCCAATTTCGCCTCGAGATGGCTGTGGTAAAGTAGCTGCAGAATCCCAGGTGAACGGACCGGCCGCGAATGACCGGCCCTTTAAACGACAACGACTATTTGGGCAGCAAGATCAAGTGAAATCTTCCACGAAGACTCGCGCGGCCTGTTCCCAAGGCGCTTTGTCCAGCGTTCTAGCCAGCCATTCAGAAACTTGTGCAACGAGCACTCCAATACCTAGGAAACGCTTCGGTGCCTGGGTACCTAAATTAAGAAACCTGTATTGTGGACACCTGCTCAGGCCGACATCGATGTTTCACAGCCCAGGTCGGGCGCGGGCTACCACACTGCCATGTGGGGCAAGTGGCACTTGGGCGATGCTCCCAAGTTCGGCCCGGAGAATCAAGGCGCAAGTGACGAAAACTGTGAAGACGTGACCTCGTGAACAGAAGCACGAAATTGTTGCAGTTTTCTTAAAGGGTGTTGTTTTGTCTTTCTCTTTCTCTCTCTCTCCGTCTCCTTTTTCTCCTCCTCCTATTCCCTTCTCCCTGTTTTTGTTTCGCTCCTCTCTCTCTCTCTCTCTTTCTCGCTTTATTTATTTGTTTCCTTATTTCTTTATCTTTTTCCTTCTTGAATTTTCCTTTTGTTTCTTTGTTTCTTTGAATCTTTCTTTCTTTCTTTCTTTCTTTCTTTCTTTCTTTCTTTCTTTCTTTATTTCCTTCTTTCTTTCCTTCTTGCTGTCTGTCTTTCTTTCATTTTTGGTTTCTTTGTTTCTGCCAGTCTTTTTACTTTTACGCTTGACTAGTTTCGCTTGCCGGCTTGGGTGATTGGGGAGTGCGAAAAGCAAGCCTCGTTGCTAATATGATTTTCATGCCAACAGGGCAACCTACCAGTTGTAATGCCAGTTGACCCTACGGCCGCAGAGAGTCTAGCTCAAGCCCTCTTAGTAAGATTTCGTGCTGTGTAATATTAATCTCGGCTGTGGACTTATTTGACCAAGTGTTGTGGAGGGCATGTCTTGTCGGGTATAGCTGTATTTGGGAGAGAGGTTTTGGGAAGCCTATGGTGTCGTCCTGCAATCGGTTGCAAATGTTGCGTTTTTATCCCCCAAAGTATCAGGAGCCCTTCTTAAGCCTCCTTTGAGTGTGTCCTTCAAGATTGAACTTGAGATTTTTCAAGACGGCCAGAAAGGGCGTCCAAAGAAGCAACTCCTCTGGCGCCCAAAGAAGCTTTTGAAAGCTCTTGTGGAACCATACCTCATCTCCAGGCCCGGTATCAAAGATGGAGTCAGCAGCTTGCGACAAGCAACCGCACACCCATGCTAAAGGTTAAGTTAAGGTTTGTGTTGTTCCAACCGGCACTATTTAGCTGTGGTGTTCAAAGACAATCCCTCATCTTTCTTTCGGGTGGTGGAAAAAAGCCCCTGTGTAGTCATTGTCCAATACGGATTATGTATAGATGAGGATTGGCCAGCCGTCCATTTTCAACAGCCCACGTTAGGGAATTAATCATCCTGGACGTTCGATTTGCAAATCCGAACAACTTCTGACCTTTTTTGGCCAAAGGTATGGGATTTGGAGTGGAGTAGGCTTTCATGCAAAAACATACCCGTTTGGAAAATGCCATGGATCGCCCTACCAAGCAATCCCAAAGTTCCCTCCCAATGATCGAAAGCTTTCAAGGCCTGATTTTGCCTTTCTCCTGGCCTTGTTTGGCCTTGTCGTTTGGCCTTATTTGGGCTGAAGCAGGCTCACTATGTAACCAGTGACCGGATGTTGTTGCTGACATTTCTTTTCTTCCCTTTGAAAGGCTTTGATTACGCCTACTACGGACTCTACAACGGCGCCCCGGATAATTGGCCAGAATCTTACGACATGCTGGCGAATGCGCTCCTCAGTTGAAAAGTTGTTGCGCAGGGCTCTTCCGTTGGTTTCCCCAAAAGATTCCTATGGATGCATGAAGTGTTGCAAGTAAACCAAGCATCAAGTGTGGTCAAAGCACACGGAAGCCCTGAAGATCCTGAAGTGAGTTGCAGCATTTGGATGCTTGACGTGGTGAGCATTTGAGGGCCCCGGTCTTCTTTTGCCAAGCCTGTTAGTTTTTTTTCTGAAGTTTGAGGGCTTTTGGGGTTTGGGTCAAATCTGTCACGGCTGGACCCTCAAGATTGGGAATTCCTTCATCATTTCCCCTGTGTAATCACCTTCTTTCTCCCTAAGCCTTCTTCAATATAATTCTCTAAGCCATGAAAAGGAGAAAGGACAGGTAGAAAGAAGGTGTGGAAGAGATAAAGATTCCTAGGTACTGACGTGTAATGGATGCACGAGTTGGACTTCGGGACCCTTCGTTCACGGCTTGGGAAGTACCCGCGAGGACAAGGGACCAGAGGGTGGATAGAGATGCTTGAGGTTCCTTTGCTTCTTCTCAAGCAGCTTCCACCAGTCTCCCCAATGTTTAACAATTGGATGGGGTACCCAACAGCACCCGAATTCATTTGCAGCTCGAATCGATTCAAGAGGGAGGATTTGTATCCAAAGGCGGCCCGGGCGCCGTGGTGCCGTGGGCTTCGGAGCGTGGAGTTGCGGAACCTGACAAACTTCCCAGGATATGTTGCGTGCGACTATGCCACTAAACCGGTATAGGAGGTGTCCGAAAATTGCCCCCCCCCCCCGGTTGTTGGTGTTTATCAAACAAATGCCAGTTCAGTTCGGGACACGTTTCTCTTTGATTAGTTTCTGAGAACCTTGACTCCTTTGCTAGGCAGATGTTCAGCAACTTGTGGGTCTGTTGATTGTTTTGTTCTGCTGAAAGCAAGGCCGAACTCCATGAAGCCCATGTTCTACGACTTCCCTGGGGTGGAAGGATACCTCGAGGCAGGCAAACTGGGAGGGCCTTGCAGGATACAACCTACTCAGCTGATTCACCGCTCGGAGGCATGGTCCTAGTCACATGCCCTGGCTTGCCGAGCCTTCTTGCGTCAAAAATGTGATCAAGGCCGCTTGAGTGGACGAGTTCGAGGTTTTCTGGTGAACGATCCTCAGGCCGAGCAACTGAGAACTGACTTTAAGACTGGTAAGCCATTGGCCCATGATGGTTTCCTCACGAAGTTAAACAAAAGCCAGCGTCGGCAGTTGTTGTTTGGGGAGATCACAGTGGAGCAAACCCTCTTTGGTAAAGCAGGACTGCGACAGTTCATTGGCGTGCCTTGCCGGTTGGCCATGTTTGTAGCCAGGACAGAGGCTGTGACAAGCACTGCTGTGGTAGCTTGCGGCCGGCAGTCCAAAGTTTGAGGCGCCCGAAGCCTGAGGCTCCCGCCACAAGCAGCCCCTCCTGCCAGTGGCCAGGCCCAGAACAGCCGCAACAGCCCGAAGCTGAAACTCCCACCAGTGGCCGGGGCAGCCGCGACAGCCCGAAGCCTGAGGCTCCTGCCCCAGAACAGCCGCAACACCCGAAGCCTGAAACTCCCGCCAGTGGCCGGGGCAGTGGCCGGCCAGCACAGCGCCCTGCGCGCGCTTCCCGTCAAGCATGCCAAGAGAGAGCTTCGCGCTAAGTTCCCTGACTTGGCTGGGCGTGAAAGCGCCCCAGTTATTCCCGCTAGGAGGTTCCGCCGACGGCGCAGCGTCCGTCTTGACCGTTTATAAGTCTATATGACGTACGTACGCCGTGTTATCTCTTGAAACATATGCATATATGTATATACAGCGTTGACCCCATATTAGTCAACCCCAGTTTAGTAATAGGGCCAAATGAGATGATTGCCCGCCGAACCCAGGGACACCCCCCACAGCAATAAACTGGAGTTGAGTAGGGGGTCAGAAGTATAGATCCCAGAAAAAAGTCTGTGCTCAGTCCCTTTCATTGGGCGATGCAGCGGCAAAAAGCGCCGGCAGGAGACGGGCATCGACCTGTCGGAGGCCGCTTACGTCGCGCGCAAGGGCCAGCCGCGGCAGCCGATCCCGGGCCCGGCGGGAAAACTTGGGCCCAGGCTGGGTTTGCAGAGATGGTTGTTGTTCTTGAAAAGGAGGTTCTTGCGGAACATGCCTTGCCTTGGTTGTTCTTAAGAGTTGTGTTTGTTGTGGTTTGGGGGGAGGGGCCTGGTTGCGGAAACTATGGCACTGCGCCACTTGTAGCGGCGTCACGTTTCGGGGGGTTTGCGACGTCATGAAGGTTTCTTTCATTTCCCCGGTTTTCAGCTGGCGCTATCATTTGCTCTGCGACACGTGCAGTTTGAGTAGGATAGGGTTGGCCAAGTTCTGGGATGAATCCCTTCTTTGGTTTTGGAGCATGGGGGTCCATGTTCAAGTACCCGCCTAAAAGTGACACACTAGTCATGGATGGGAATCAACACATTTTGGGGACGATTTGCCACAACCGTGGGCCAACTACCGGTTGACAAACCAAATTCAATCATTTGGGCAATGTTAGTAAGGGTCCCTCAGGCCTGGTGACCAACATCTTGGGGTTTGAACCCATGTATTCTAAAAGCTGTTGGTTTTGCAAGCAGGGGTGCTGACTGGCATTTAGCCGCTAGCCTTTGCGTTTGGCAGCTCCTTCAGCAGATGCAACTGGTAATTAAAATGAGCTGGTTTCATCCACTGTTGGTCAAACACTCTTTTTGGTTGTCCCCTTCAAACAGTCACGCCCTGGGTGCAACAATTCGCCCCTCACTGGTCTTAGGAGGCAGGAAGCCTTCGAGAAGGACCGGCGTGTTTTCGCGCGAAAGACGAAGCGCGCAACTCGTGCAGAAGGGTTTCATCTATTCGTTCGCATGATGGAGACCTCTCAAAGGGGGCTTGCGACTTCACACATTCTTACTTGGGAAAACCTTATTTCAGATTGGGGCTGCTTGCGTCGGGGCAGCTGGGGTTGCTGTGGACCAGTTGGTGTGCCGCAATTCCAATGCTGAGAAAAAGGATGGCCATGGTCGCGAGCTATGTTGGTGAGAAGTTGTGATTTACCGGATCTATATATTTGTCACTTGAGTCACCGATAATATTATCTCTAGTCTGTTGCTTTGGGGAGGACATGTTGCCCACTTTTTAGGACACTCAGACGACACATGAGGGTCCACCTTTTCTTGGAGCGTCCCATGTGTTTGAAGGTAGACGCATCACGTAAAACCAAAAAAACATGGTGACATCAAAAGCCACTGACAGACTTGGATCAGTTTGACACGATGGCCCAGGTTTCGCTTTTGAGCCAAAGGGACTCCCAGGCTATAGGGTGTCGATTGGCCCTAGAGAGCAGTCGTTTTGTAATGGGGCCCCAATTGAGTCGCGATGTGTGGCTGGTCCCGGATTGAACTCACCAGTCCCGAGTGATTCGGAGTCTCGGTTGGTTTGTGGAGCCCACAGTGCCCGACTGACCCATTAAATCCAGAACCAAGCTAGGCCAATTTTCGCCAGGGAGAAACCATGTAGATCAACAACTCTGCATGTAACCACCCGCATTGGACAACAGGGTTGAGCTTTGTTGTTTTTCATGGTTTGACAACATGGGAATTCAGGCGAAGGCAAAGGGCACCGGGCCGGAAAAAAAGGGTGGGGCAAAGCTGCTGCGTCGAAAAGAGGGGCGGCTTTGCTGGCCTCTTTGTCCGGCGATCCAGGAGTCCATTGAGCAGATTGTTCAGTATGTCGAGGAGAAGGCCAAGGACGAGAAATCCTAATCGGCTTCCTTCGGTGGTCCATGCCAGTCATTTGTGAAAAGGGAAGTTTGGGAAGGTGCATTTGTTAATAGCGGGAAACGATTACATTACATTGAGGCAATTACTGTGATTTTAGCAGGGATTTGGAGGAGTTCTGTGAGTCATGCAAATCACAGAACCCTTGATCCTATATGGTATAGGATTCTTTTGCACCATAACCTCCTTTGCTGTCCACAAAACCTTAGGCAACGTCCTACATAAGAGTTCTTCCTCGGTTTTGGGGCTGGGGGTGAAAGGAAGCGCAGTTGCACCCTGGACCATGTAAGCAATGACACGAGCTTCTTGCACTTATTTCTGACCGTACCGTACTAGCCTGTAGTGATCAGTTTGGTTTTTTAGTTTTGCTTCTTCTGGTTTTGGCAAGCGCATTAACGATCCTATCGGACGGGTGTTAATGAACCCCGAACCGCAACTGCCTAAGGGATGGACAAGTCTTATTCCAACTTACGCACCCATGCCTTGAACACCCAGATTGACAACCCATGCCAGCCCTATTGCTTCTCAAGACTTCTCAAGCTCACGCTAAGTTTCATTAGGCGAATCCTTCTTTGGGTTTCGCCTTATTCTCCCCGAATTTCATGGCCGTGTTGTGCATCCATATGGACCTTGGATCGTTGGCACTTTCAGGGTCCGATGGCCGAAATCCGGCACCACCTAAGAAACCCCGGAATGATGATTCCCCTGTAAATACCAACAAACAATCGTCTCAACCATGGTTTCTCAGGTGCGAAATGGATTTCGCAACCATCAACAGTGTCCGCATAGGGTGGCTGGAATTGGACGGGAAACCTATGTTCAATTGTACGTCAACGAGTCGGAAAGAAACCCCTTGAACCTACTTCCTGTACGCCCAATCTCTGTTTGTTTCTTTAGTGCCATGTTTGGTGTGCTCCCTTTTGGTTGGGTGATGTTTTTAGCTTGGAAATCTAGTTGGAACCCAAGCTATTGTTGTGCTGGTTTTTCGGGTTGCAAATCTAGCTGCAGCCTTTGAAACTGCTTGACGGGGTGACTTTGGGTACAAAAACAGGTTAAACCCGAAGCCAAAATGCCAGGAGTAGAGGAATCTTCTTTCTGGATTCCCTCTTTTGTGGGGGTTCCGTGTTTTTTTGGGCTTTCGGTCCAGGACCCGAAGCCTTTCTTTATCTACTGGGCGACCTTCTGCCAGCAGCTGCAGGGTTTCTCCGAGCATTACCAGGCGGGATTCCTCCCCAGGACTATTGGATGGGCGGGACCCCAGATATTATTACCAGTCTAAAGCAGAGAAAATCCACAAGAATATATTTTATGGAGGCTTGATGGAGATGTGTGCTTTTGTTGTTGGTACCCTTTTCGGGGGTGTGTTTTTAAAGGGAAACCGCCGGGACCACACCACTTTGTTGGCATACCCGGATGAACACCTGCGTTGCTTTGTTGATCCATTGTTGAGATGCATTGTTTCTTTGTAGCTTTTCTCAAAACTAGGGTAACCCCAAAATGGCTTGCCCCGGTAAACGGAAACCTGCTGACGAAAACCTGCGGCCCATATAATGGTTTAATTTTGACCCGTACCCAAATGACTATGCTTCACAAATGGATTGGAGGAGTCGGGACCTCCGATGCGGTCAGGCTATGGTTATTAAAGGTAACGTTCCATCCGAGGATCCCCACGTGGACAAGATGAACACTCAGGCCTCCATGCTGGCAGCGCACAGCGCCCACGTGACCCGACTTTTGGGCACCCTGGAAGCGGAGGCGTCGGCTCGCGGTTTGACGGCTTTCCTTTGGGTTTCGTCGTTTGGGGCCTATAACAGGGGAACCTCCGAAAATTGGGGGGGGGTCCTTTTGGTTTCCCTTGAAACCGATCCCAAACACTCACTTCCAGAGTTTCGTTTGGGACTCTCTTTTTGTTGCAAAACAACTTTGGTGGATGAACAGTTTGGGAGCATTTTTTGGGCCATCCACTCAGGAAGTGAGTTGAACCTAAGGTGAGCGACCTACCCTTCTAATTTGTGGTTTGTTGCTTCTCCTCATTCATTAGGCAACAAACACAAAGCTGGTCAACGACATGCTAGGAACTTAGCACCTCAAACAGGCGTGGGTGTTCATTGGGTCGACAGCTTTTGAATCCTGTCATGGATATTTCCTGGTTCGGAGCATGGGAGCATTAGCCGCCACTGCCAGATGAGTGATGGGTCACTTTCCAAGAACTGGTACAACACCTTGTCTGAGGCGAGAGGTTCTACGTGTGCATGAAACTTCGAGCGTGCAGGTTTACGCGTTTGCATACCCTTCGCGTCTCGCGCCCCCGCCGCATGCCATTTGCGGCTTTGGTTCTCCTGCAGGGCATTGCAGAGAACACGTTGGTGGTGTGGTGGAGCGACAACGGGCCGATGTACGCCTTCTTCCCAAACTCAGGCGTGGCTGGCAAGCAAGTGTTTTTTTGTTTTTGCAAGAAGGGTAAAGAAGATACCCACAAGATAGTAGGGGTTGTTGTTTAGATTCCCAAAGCCAGATATTCGTGTTTTGTTAGCCGTCATTTTGCGGTGGGGAAATCTGGGGGTTTCCCTAACCTCAATCAAAACATCATAAGGTGGGGTGGTTCTGCTTCTTTTTTCTTTATCTCGTTTGGTTTCCTTTTTCGCTGTGGGAAATGCTTGGGGATATCCTTGAGAAGCACTTGGGAACATCCTAAGCAAGCACTCAGGGCTTTCCCTGTCCTCTTCCTTCTTCCATTTCCTTAAGTGTTTGTCGCCTTTCTGGTTTTAACGGGCATCTATCACTACACGACGCATGTTTATTTTTCTCAGGGGGCGAGTAAGCAAAAGCCTTTCCCTTTAAACTCTCCCGCTGGGCCAGGCTACACCGGGCTGCGGGGCGGCAAGGGCACGGTCTTTGAGGGAGGCGTGCGGGTGCCAGCTATGGCCTGGTGGCCAGGAATCATCGCTCCCAACCAGGCCTAAGCCGCAAGGGGGGGGGTGATTCCGGAGGGGTGTGTGTGTGTGTGTGTGTTCTAAGGATCCCAAAGGAAGCTTAACAAAAACCAGAAGGAACCTGAAAGGGGCTAGTTTGGATGGTGGACTTGTTTCCTGTGATGTTTCGGTCCTGTTTAGGTTCAATTTCGACTCAGGAAATGGAAAAGCGCGTCATTTTTGTTCGCCTTCAGTGTTTAGCCGCAAACCCAGAGTTCTTGGCTGAAAATGAGCAGACTTTTTAATTTTAGAACTGAACAAATTCAAAACGGACTGGGTGCCTTCCTGGGGTAACTCGTACTTCGGCGTGTTCCCGCGTACGAGGGGTGTCTGAAGGCACGAGGGGTGTCTGACCGGTCTGAAGTAAAGTGGCCGGCCAAAGTCGGACGACCAGCTGGACTGCTCCCCAAACCCTATGCCCTGATGGTCCTTACGGCACAAATCGTGATATTCTTTGCAAAGTTCATCAACCATCAAGGGGCATCCGTTGGCTTCGGTTGCTTGGACTGGTCAACAAGGGGCCTGGGGCTAAAGGCTGCTTGTTCTGAGTTGGAATGGTAGCTAAAGAACCCCACCAACCATTCCATGCAAGCATCCATTGGTGGTTGGAAGAGGGGCACCCCCCTAACCCAGTTGTCCTTTCAGTTATCCCTGGCTGAGCTTGTCAGCAGATTCGTGTCTTGAAGCCCAATCAAAACTGCTCACCAGTTTTTGAGTGGATTGGCCGCGAAGAAGTCCAATCTTGTTTGGTCCAGGAATGGTTTTGCCCAGAAGTATGAAGTCCAAGAACCAATGAAGTAGGAGAGTAGGACTATATACGATGCTTCATGGTCGCTTCACTTCCAATATTTACCCCTCTGAGAGTGCCTCCGTGTGAGCTTGAGTTGATGGATCATAATCATTCATCAACATGGAACGCCACCGGGTCTTCTGGTTAAGAGCGCCCTTTCTTTGGAGCCCTCGATCCATTCAAGTTTTGGAATCATAGGAGTTTGTTGCCCTCCAACCGCGTGAAGTGATACTCCACAGTTGTCCCTGTGCTATCTTTCAAGTTGTGTGAGTCGTTTCCCAAGACAGACAGTTGAACTTACTCTTCTGAGTTTCTTTGAATGCAGGTTGCCAACGCGACACGCGACAAGACGCAGCGTGCCCAAGCGTTAGGTAACCCTGAATAGGTGTGGATTGGTGGTTTGGATCCGGATGGAGCCGAATTTCTGGGAGGGTGTTTTTTCAGGACCCAGTGGACATCATCCACGTCACGGACCTCTACACCACCGCTGCCCGCCTGGCCAACGCCACGAAGAATATCCCCGAGGATGGAGCGTTTCATGGAATCAGCGAGCGCACCCTCGCTCCAAGTCCTGGTTCCCAGCAAATCATCCGGTTTGTCAGGTTTAGACAGGAGCGTTTTAGTTGGTGACAGGTGTCCGTATTTCATCCGCTAAAAGCTATTTTCACTTTTAGCGGATCTGTGGACGACAGCCCAAGGGAACTATATCGACGTTTTGGGGCTTCTCCCGCCTGGAGAGAGGGTAGCTTACACGCGTATGGTGTATCTACAGGAAACATGGACCGTAATATTGACCCGAAGCTCTGCAGTGCGGCCACTTTTGGAGGGCCCCCCCCTCCCTATTAACTGGGGTTGATTAGTATGGGGTCAACGTGACTTGTTTGTTGGCAGCTCTGGGTGCTTAATAAAGCAGAATTGCATCCATCGCGGGCATATTTGCGTTTTGCAGACCCACTATTTGTGCAGGTTGGGCAGTAAGGGCACCAAGTCTAGCTATGGGTGTTTCTCAAAATTCGGGACCCCTTCAGGTGGTCAGCTTACTTTTGTTGGTTTCCACTGGTAAACCCCCTCTTGCCAAGGAGGGTGAACATCAGAGTAGGTGCCCAAAAAGTCACCTCGGCGAGGGAAAAGGAAGTCTTTGTCTCCCACTTCTGGCAACTCACCGCTCGCGACGAATCCATAGAAAGGTGCAGCCTTGCAATCAGTGTCAAAAGCTTCGAGGTGCAAAGCGTGCGGCTGGTTTACCTTTCGTTAAAGGCTCTCGTTTCACAAGGCAATTGCTGGGTGCCGTGTTTACCCTAGCTCGTTTTGGCCAAAAACAAGGTGCAAAAGAGCAGATCTCGTGGCCTTCTGGCCTTCTGCCCATAGCCTTCAGCTCCCTCTAGCGAGGATCGCATCACCGACGGGGTGGACCAAAGCGCGCTCTTCATGCTTGGGGAGGGCCACACCCGGCGCAGCTGCATGCGCCGAGCTGAGAGCCGAAAGTCCAAAACCCGGAAGACAAACTGGGCGTGTCTTGTTTTGAGGGTATGCACTGACACGGGGGTTCTGATCATCTATCATTTGGCAATGTGTAAAGCAGCGTTCGCGTCGTAATATTGCCGGGGAGCCCGTCTTATACATACATGATTTACTCATAATTTGCTGGCCGCCCCATGTTTTTGAAGGAATGCAGGCAAACGCTGCGGAACAAAGCGTGTGTTTTCGTCATGTTAGCCCCTGTGAGCGAAGTGAAAACGCACTGGTAAACGGCTTGCCTCCACCCGCCATGGGAAAGGAGAGCGCTGCAAGCGACGCAGGCGACAGAGATGCGTTCATTCAAGCGCAGCCACCGACCAGCGCCGACAGCGCCAATGCGTCATCCACTGGCAGCAGCAGCAAAGCAGAGCAGCATGCAGATCACAGGTCCTTAGTCGAACCGATGTGACAGCAGTTTTGCAAGCATTTGTGGGTGGCAGCGATGTGGGTCAGGTCTTGGCAAGTTTGCCATTTTACAGTTGTGAAGTTACGGAAGGCACATTCGAAGAGCTAGGAAAGTCACTGAAGGGGTTCCTCCGCGCGTACGCGAAGGATAGCCTTGGGTCTGAGCCTCTGCACAACTACAGTATCCGGTGTGGGCCGCCTTTTTTACCCGCTGGCTGTTCCGTTGGAGGCATGCGAATCCCCACAACCCGAAGCCGGTTTTAGAGCTGCAGGACTGCTGCCTGGCCTGGAGGTGGCAAAAGCCCAGGCTTCGAACCCATGCTAGGCGTGCTGAAGGAAGTCTTGTCTGAATTTCCCCATTTTGCCCCCGGACGCCCGCAAGACAGTTTCCACATTGTCGAACCCATGACTCACGCGGCGGCCATCAGCAAGCTGAAAGATAGCCACGGCTGCAGGAGAAGCAGACCCTATCCTGCGCCCAAGCTGGCCAGCAAGTGGCACATGGGCGCAGAGCACGCGCATCAACTTGCAAACGTCAGCCAGGCCAACCAGCTGTACAGGGCTTTCAAAATGTGTGGCGCTGAAAGCTCCGCGCCGCATTTTCGTTCTTGCGAGCGCAGCTCCGCTACTGGGAGCTGTCATGGGGACTGTGTGGCCGTGCGTGCGTGTGTGCAACCCGGCAGGCGTACTGTCATCCCATTCCTTGCGCATGGCAACAGTCTTCTTCCAGGAGTGGGGAACTGCGAGGTCTCGAGAGCAGACGCCAGGTCGGCAAAGTTTGCAGAGGGCAGGGGCCAGGCTCGGGGCTGAACAGACAGGGCGACCAGCGCGGCCGAACTGCTGAAGCGTCTTGATGTTCTCGGCTAGGCGCCCCATCTCGCCATGTGGGTGACAGCTGCGAGAGAGGCGCGCAGCAGCTCTAGCAGCCTCCGCCAGCGCAGTTCAAGTCTTGACTGTGCATCATGTGGGCAACGAAGCAGCAGCAGCAAACGATGCGGGGGGCCCTGTGTTCGAGAAAAGCTGGAGCCAGCCGCCGCAAGCGATGAACTTTCGGCTGGACTGCTTAGCAGTGCCAGGCTGCGACCAGGCCAGCGAGGAGATCACTGGTGCAGGTTGCGGCGCTGGTGCAGGTGCTGTTGGGTGCTGGTGACGGTGCGTGTGTGGGCGCATTTTTGTGAGGTGTCGGGTGTTAGGGAGTTTAGGCTGGTGACAGTGTGGGCGCATTTTTGCTGGATTGCGGCTGGGTGCTAGGCAAACCGCATTTCAAGTGTCAACACAGATGTGTTCACTTCACAACTCTCCAGCAGGGAATCTATCCAGCGATGCGTGTGTAATAACAAACGAGCAGTGCGCAATCCTCGACCTGTTTTACCCTATCTGGAGTCTACGCTGGTGCAACTTAATTTGTTTTCTTTATTTGCGTTTTTGCCGCATGTGTAGTTTTCATATGGCAATACGTCATTAACGCTTTCAAGTAGCATGATGGCCAGACTAGGGACGCCTAGTATGAACAATTCTTCCGACATATTAGCCACAGTTACTTGTCGAGGCATAGATTTTAAGATGTGGGCTTGTTACGAAGCAGGGGAGCCCCACCTTAAACAATGCCGCTCCGCGATCAGGATCTTTGGATCCTGCGCCACAATTTCTGCGCCACATCCATGTACAAGCACGAGCGCCAAGCCGGAATGACAGATCTGAAGTGTGAATCGCTCGAGCCCCACATGCACGCTATCGGAGAGCGAGAGCCTATCGATCCCACAGCCTCAGTGAAGCAGGCAAACTCGTCATCAAGGTCATGCTGGGGAAGACTTGTTGATGTTGGTCGTCCACCAAATATGAAGAGCTGTCTGCCGAGTCAGCCGTGAAAGCAGATGTGAGCAGACGAATGGTTCATCAAGAGGCAAAGCTAGCGGCCTTTGCAGCCAGACCACTCTCAAGGCC